TAAATGCAGGTAGCAGGAAAAGCTCTCCCTAACGACTTCTTGTACACTCAGACTTTGAAGGATATGAAAAAGAGAAAGATAATGCAGATTTGTGTGTTAGTTTGAGCAGGGGACAGATTGCCATTAATGACATTTCCTAATATCATCCTGGCATTCTTTCTGTCGTCTTAGAGGTTATCCTGATGGCATATCAAGGTTTTGGGACGTTTTGCAATATCCAAGTAAAGCTTCTGTGTTCATCCTTTTACCTGTACAGCTTGGGCCCCTTGGCATGATGACTCGAATACTGTAAAATCTCACAACAAAGTCCGTGGCAGGAAATTTGCATTGGAAAAGTCATTAGCAGTAACACAGTCCGTTACGACGATTTGTGGTGCCTCCTTTTCTATCGTTACGAGTGTTTGAAGTCCCAGAGTGGCCATGGGCAGTGCGTGTAGCTCAGAAATGCCACCACTTCCCACCCATAGCCCAAGTGAGCAGGGTTTCTGAGGGAGCTTGTGCAGGGTGAGGGAGCCCTGCCGTGGTGAGGTGGGGAGCTCAGGCTCCCATACCCCCCCGGGGGCTATTCCAGGTTCAGGCTGTCACATCACCAGGCTTCAACTACTCATCTTTAAGTAAATGTCACTATTTTAGTGAGACTGGACAATACACCAGTGTAATCTATTACACACCTGAGTTCTGGGTTCATCTGTCTTTATTTTTCGGGGCAGCCCCCCCGTTGTTAACACAGTGGCTGTCAGCTAAAAAAAGCCTTTGCTGAGTTACTGCTAACAACATTTTCATGTAATCTCAAGGGTTTTTTGAGGGCTACAAGATGAAGCGTGTGAAGCGGAAGAATTCATTGTTTGAAATCCGATTTGAAAGGAAGTGTTCAAAAGTGAGCATTGCAAAAGCTGCTGAGGAGATGGGAAATCTCAGGCTGGAGTTAATGAGGGAGGATGCTATCTGTGAGGGGGAAAGTAAGAGTGATGTTTAAAGAGTGAATAAAATCATTATCATAGCTGAAGAGACACAATGTTTTGGGAGATCGTACACAAGATATTAGCTTGGAAAAAAAATCAACAAAGTAAATGGATATCAGAAACTTTGTCTTCCAATAAGTCATTGCAGAGAAGTTGGGGATTTTACTGCCCATTACTTGCTCTCTCATCCCAAACTTCCCTGGTGCTTTACAGCCAGACACAGTGAAACTCGAGTCCCCATTAAATTAATTGAAACATTGCTATTTACTTTTTCCTGATTTTCCCGTTTTGCCACTAAAAGGTAAAGAGGAAAATATTGATAGAACTTTGCTAAATCCTCCTTAAAATACAGAAGTGCCATGGGGATTTTAGCTAAATTCAAGTGGAATATGAAAGGAAGTCTAGAAGAATATTTTGCTCTCTTACTTAAAACAGGACAAACGGCACCTGAGGTGTGTTTGATAAAAATGTGGCAAGGAGAGAATCATAGAGAACTTAGCTTCCAATTTTTCCAGAATAGGTAGGTTTAGACAAGAAAACCAAGCGAGTTTAACACATTGAGAATTGACTTTCAGTGTTGCGGGCTTTTCTTCGGGCTCTGATTTCATTCCAAGAAGGGTTTATTTTGATTTATCCTACACCTGTTCCTGGCAGGCTGGCGTGACGTGCCTGCGAGGGGAGCACGGCCGGGGGGGCTGCCCTGGGCTACGGACTCTTCCCTTCCCTCTTCCCAGCCTCAGGAGCTGGTGTGGGTGGGTTTGGGGGGGTCCTTGTGAAGAGATGAAGAAGATGAGAGAGTGAGGTGCGAAAAAGCCACCAGCAGCAGGGGAAGGTTCTCCTCCCTCCTCCAGCTGCTTTCCAAACCTGTGCCAGCCTGTGTTCTGCTCACCCACTCCTCTCCCTCTCCTCCCCTGCCTCTCTCCATCCCTGCCCTCCCTCTAGAAGGGGGTACACACCTGGATAACGTCCTTGGACCAGTGCTTTAAAAAAAAGAGGAAAGAGAGCTATGCTGCTGTTGGCTTCTTCATCCCTGGTGGTCAGAGGGGACCGGAGCCCCTCGGTGGGACGAAGGGTTCCCAGCAGCGCGGGGTGGATGCTGAGCAGTGCTGGCAAAGCTGAATTAATTTGAATTTTTTGCAGTGGGAGGCCTGCAGTAAACTCCATGTTATAAAGCAAGCTGCCAGAGCTGCTGGGATGGGAAGGAATAAAGGCAGAGACACATCATTGACTTTTGTAAAGAACTGCCCAATCGGGAGTGGTTGAGGGTAACCAAAACCCTCTGGAACCACTTGAATAATTTCTGGACCAAAGGCATAATTCCTATTATTTGGGTGACCTGAACTCTTTTTTAAGTTCTAATCATGATTGCAGGAGTACGTGCTGCTTTTCTAACGACACCCCATGTGCTGGCAGCCCGTCGTGGCTCATTAGAGATGGCTGTTGGGCTGCTGGGCCACTCAGAGCGGGCAGGAAGGAGCCCAGCTGACCTTGGTCATGGCAGGGGCCGGGGACACTCTTCCTTCAGCACACCCGGTGTTGCTCAAGGCTTTCTGGCACGCTCCGCATGAGCCTCAGGTCCGGATAAACACACCTAAATATAGACACTTGCTCGTAGGTGAGTCCCTGAGTGCTCCCTGTCCACGCTTGCGGGACAGTTGGTCGGGATCACGTAGACGTGTCCCTTGTTACCTGATATTCCCTGCTCTCTGCTGACTTCTCCTCAAGGGCACAGCCTTCCCAGGTCCCAGAGCATAGCGGCCGGACGGAGGGCATGTCTCACATACCTTAAGACATCTCAGATGGCACTGGGTGAATAAATGGGGGCAGCTGAACCCAGCTTTTCCCGTGCCAGGGCCCGGGTGGGAGCCCTCCCCAGGATTAGCTGCACCTCTCTCAGCTGCCGTGGCTTCCTTGTGCCTGCTTTGCGTGAGGACACCTAAATTTAAACCTCTTCACGTGGAGCTGAATCCCACCCCATCTGTCTTTCTGACCTCTTTGTAGAATCTGGGACGCCTTTAACCTTTCCTGGTCAGTTTACCCTGTTTCTGAGTTCTCACCCATCTGGTTCCCCCACTCTCGAGTGGAAACACCCGGGGACACCTTGCCCATTCCTGGCTCTTCCTGGTCTCTGAACTTGTCAGATTTACATCGAGAAGCAAAACCAGCTTTTTTTGGTAGCCAGCTCTAGAGTAGCCTCCTGTGATCCACCGACGTAGTAGCCAAAGGCATTTTAAGGGTCAGAAGGTGGGCCTGACCTAGCACAGTGTGTCCAACGGTGGCACCAGCCAACAGTGGGCAGTTTTGGGAGCAGGGCGAGCACACAGCCATCTATCTCCATGAGAGTCTCCTGGCAGCCTCCAACAGCCTGCTGTGTGGAGACCTCCTGAGCCAGAGGTGGGCCTTTGGTATTAATTAGCCCAGGATTAAATTACCCCCCATGAGATGATCCTACTGGCTTTGAACCCGTGTCAGCTTTTAGTGTCTGGTGATGAGGATTTCCACAATTTAACAGGACACTCCTTAAACCAGAGGTTGTCTGTGGCTTTGAGTTGGAGTAAGAGGGCAAAGCCATCCATAGGTGAGGCAAGAGTAACCCAGGCTGTTTGCAGAATGAGCCAAGGCTGTTTCCTGCTGTGCTGGAGTAGGGTGAGTGGAGTCTTCTGCTGGCTTGTAGGTACAGCCAGTCTCTTGCCACTCGCCTGTGGAGAACTTCTCACTTACTGGGCCATTCTTGACTTGCAGGAGCTACCCTTGGGACAAGACAAGTGTTCATACCCAACACAAAAGAAGCAAAACTTGTGTTGATAAGAACTTGCTTTCAGTTCTTCTTGTTGTTATTATTATTAAGAAGTTCCATCTCAACACGAGGAGGAACTTCTTTCCTGTGAGGGTGGCAGAGCCCTGGCAGAGGCTGCCCAGAGAGGGGGGGGAGTCTCCGTCTCTGGGGGACATTCAAAACACACCTGGACACGTTCCTGTGGGACCTGCTTTGGCAGGGGGTTGGACTGGATGATCTTCAGAGGTCCCTTTCAACCCCATATAATTCTGTGATTCTGTGATGATGATTATTATTATTATCACCATCATCACTATTATATGTATGTTATTATGTATCTTATTATACTGGTGAAGGTGGGGTTAGATTACCTCTCCACAGAAACATGCAAACACCACGAAATCCTAGCTTTAAACCAGGTATTTCTTACAAAGGCTCTTTAAGCTTTTAAAGAAGGTCAGGAAATTAATGATGGGGCGATGAAGTAACACAGGGCTTGTTCTGTCCTTTTCCACTCCCTGTGCACCAGTGTGTCTATCCCAGTCATTGTAAAAGGGCTTCATGCCATCTCACAGCGCCCGTGTGCCGTCGCTCTGCCTCCTCTCACCCTCTAAATGCTGTTGTGACTCAAAGTGCACTTGGCTGATGAGCTCATGCAGAACAAACTTGTTCTCACCGTTTGAATCTGTGACCTGAAGAAATAAATCATAAGGCTTGCTGGGCTTCAGCAGGCTTCCCAGGCTGCCAGCTAAAGGAACGCTGCTGAGTTGTGCCCCAAAACTCCTGCCTCCCCCGCGCCCTGTTTGTGCTCACAGACAATTAGTGCATCTGCTTGTACGTCCAGTTCTGCTGGACTCCCACCACTCCAGCTGATCTAATTTTTTCTTACCTTTGTTTTGGTTTTTTTTGCCTTTTTGTAGAAGAGTTGCTATGGGAAAAGATATAAAAGGAGAAAGTTCTGGTCCCTCTACTAACGTGTATGGTTTGCTCCATCAGGCTCCAAAGCTCCTGCGTGAGGTTCCTTCAGCGCTGCTCCTCCTGTCCATACGTTTTCAGAATTCCTACCCTCAGTTTTCACCCTGGAAGTTCCCAAGGCGTTTTTTGACACCTCCATCCCCACCTCAAACAGGATTCTCAGTGCCTCAGATTCCCAGCCGCTGCAGGAGGAGCCTCTCCCTTGTCCCCTCATTCAGCTCGTGTACATGTTTGTGTTATTTATTGGTACTTGGACATTAATGTTTTCTGTAATATATTTCTTTCAGACATCATTGTTCTCATCGCTTCAATAGCAGTTGTTTCTGCAAAAACTCAGGGTAACATTTTTGCAACATCAGCACTGAGAAGTCTTCGTTTCCTACAGATCCTTCGTATGGTGCGCATGGACCGAAGAGGAGGCACTTGGAAATTATTAGGTTCAGTAGTTTATGCACACAGTAAGGTACGTAATCCTGGAGGCTGGCTTCCATTCCTGCACTTGATGTGATTCAACAACACAAATGTTTATCAGTTTTGAGCAGAATACCTGAAATTTTCTGAAGCAATGTCAGTTCTAATGGGCATTGGCACAGACACATCAGGCCGCGCTGAAGGCTCACAGTTTTTAGAATATGTTGAAAGTGCTGTACTTGATGTGCTGTTGTAATTGGATATATATTGGTGAAGTTGCTGGAGCATCAAGCTGTAGGAGTCGATTTGGTCCAGTTTTAGAGAAAATCTGCATTTGTAGGGAAGCATTTGACTTTCAACTGCTCAAATGCCCCAAAAATATATAGATGTTTTCATTATGTCTTCCTTGAAATGCCATTCTCTTCAGTCTTTCAAATGGATATTGATCTCTGATTTCTTTTGTCTAGGAATTAATCACAGCCTGGTACATAGGATTTTTAGTACTCATCTTTTCATCTTTCCTGGTTTATCTGGTGGAAAAGGATGCAAATAACCAATTCTCCACGTATGCAGATGCTCTCTGGTGGGGCACGGTAAGTGTGAAGAAACAGTATGTGCTGTTTAACCAGTGTGACAGGGTGCTTTGAGTTTCACCTGCGGTGGCTTTTAACGTGGTGTATCTTCAGTGAACTGTTTTTGCTGCCAGAAAATGGGTCTGAGACTCTCCCTCCTCCGGGAACTCCTTTGCCCATCCCCAGCCGTTTCACCCCGTCCCGCAGAGCAGCTGGTTCTGTGTTTCTGCTGCAAACCAGAGCCTGGAACCTTGGAGAGGAGAGAGCATTTTAGTTTTTAACCCAGATCCTTTCAGTTTGTAATACGGTCCCACAAGGAGCTGCCGTGATCCAAATCAGAGGGCTGGCAGCTGCAGGGCAGGGTGGCCAACAAATGTCAGGAAAGAAAAAGGGAAAAAAATCTTAATCAGCTTTGAGGTGAAGAGCATCACCAGCACCTGTAGAATGACCTTGTTTCTGCTTCTTTTGCACCTTGGGCACGAAAACCCAAGAATATACATTCCCATTCCGGTTCAGCAGCGTTCTCCAATTATTTTTGCAGGTGTAAAAGCCCTGATTTAGTTGAGCTCGCGCTTAACTAAAAAAAAAATCAATGGCTTTTATACTCTGTTGGAATCTGTGGGATGTAAGCACCTGCCTGGCTACATTTCTGAAAAGGAGGAGGGCTGTATGAATGCTTACGTGCTTAAATAAATAGGCTTTAAATGAACAGTGAAAAACTAGGTTTGAAATGTTGATATTTTTCGGTGGTGTGATGTGTAGGGTTTTTGCTTACCAGTGGGCTGCAGTGATTTTTGCTTACCAGTGGGCTGCAGTGATTTTTGCTTACCAGTGGGCTGCGGTGATTTTTGCTTACCAGTGGGCTGCAGTGATTTTTGCTTACCAGTGGGCTGCGGTGAGAGTCCCTGGGGCAGGGCTGTTCCCGGGCAGCACACAACTCCTCGCCTGCTCCTTCTCCAGCAGCAGAGCAAACACCCTGAGCCCTGACAGCAGCTGGGCAGGGAGATGGTGCCTGTGAGCTCATTAACGCTGACACAACCTACAGCACTCATTAGTCTTCCTGGAATAAGCGTGAGACCCGAAGTAGGCTCTGTCCTCCTCAGAGGGGTCCCAAAACGGAGCCTTCTCACCTCAGACCTTCTGCCAGGGCTCTGCCTGGGCTCGGTGGGGTCCACAGGCTCAGAACGGGTGAAAAAACCTTTCCCAAAATGCTCTGAACCCTTGAAAAATATTTTCAGTCAGTCAGGGTTATATTTTGAGCAAAGATCAAGGTGGGGTCCTGTCAGTAGGACTAGTTTGTGTATTTGAAATTTGTTCATCGAGGGTTAATAACTTGTTACGTATCTTCCCTAGAGGCTTTATTTCTGTGTTTTCAGTGCACAAAACTGAAAAGGATGAGGGGCAACGGGCACAAGTTGGAACATAAGAGGTTCCACTCAAATATGAGAAAAAACTTCTTCACGGTGAGGGTGGCAGAGCCCTGGAACAGGCTGCCCAGGGAGGGTGTGGAGTCCCCTCCTTTGGAGATTTTCAAGACCTGCCTGGATGCTCCTGAGTAACATGCTCTGACAGGCTCTGGGTGGTCCTGCTTCAGCAGGGGAGTGGGACTAGATGATCTCTGTGGTCCCTTCCAACTCTAAAAATTCAGTGAAATTCAGTGAAAACTGGGAGCTGGGAAAGGCCAGACCCAGTAGCTCTCACTTGTGCATTTTCAAGTACAAATACACACAAATGTTTTTCCTGAAACTTGTTGCTTTAGAGCATCAGTGCAGATCTCTCACAAAACACGCTTTTTCATCCTGTGATCCAAACACATAGAAAATTCATGTTGACTAAAGCCAAGAGAGAAGGCTTTGCCCTCAGTCTCACCACTGTCGTTTATTGGTTTTTTCCGCTTTTCTTCAAAAGCTGAGGCCTGGGTTTGGCTTAAAGCTGTGCAACCTGCCTGTCGGGGATGGGGTCCTGTGAGAGCCCCTCCTGAGGCCACGGAGGTGGGTCTGGGAATAGGACTTTTCAGAGGTTGGGTTCTCCAGGCAGGAGCCTCCCTGTCCCAGCAAAGCCGAGTGTGGTGGCTCTGCAGGGGCAGAGATTGGAGCAGGGCTTGGACAGTCCCAGCAAACTCAGACCCAGCTCTGACATCCCACCGAGGCCGGTGTCAGCCCCAGCTCCTCCTCCCCCAGCAGCTCAGGCAGCGGCAACAAGAGCTTTTATTTTAGACTTTGCTTCTCCACTACCTGCTGGTTGGGATTTTTTTTTTTTAAGGAAAAACCCTGCTAAGAAATAATCATTATATAAAGTGGTGCTTAAAATATTTTGTACACTCTGAAGTGAAAATGTATGACTCATAGGTCAGATAAGTAGTGCAACTGAGAAAATAGGAATCTTTGCTTGACATCAGCAGGAAAAACAACAAATTATAATCAAAAACCTGAAAACAATCCACATTGTGTATTTCTGTATCTTTTCTTCTTTCCCCAGTGTGTGACATGAATACATTTAAATTTTTAATGTGCTTAAGTGCACAAAGTTGCTGAAAATCAGTGTTCCCCCTTACCTGTTATCTTTGCCATTTTAATAATAGTATTTTTTGTATAATATGTAAAACAGTATGTGGGAAATGCATAACGTGCTTCTTAGTCACGGTTGTTTTTACTGCCAGAGTAACCCACATGCAGATTTTGAAAAGGTCAGATTGTGTGGCATTCCAGGGGAAATCAATGCCTAATCTCAGGGATTTGTTTATTTGCAGAAGTTGTTCTGACTTAAACCACAGAGTATCTCCCGAATCCCAGCGTCAGCTCTGTGATGGCAGGGCTACAAAGAAAAGACTGCGGTGAAGTCAGGCACAAAGAGTCATCTGAAATTTCAGGCTTTTAGAGGCACTTGTGTGTGTCCCCCTGCTTTTACAGGGCCAGACCCAGCACGCAGCAGTTCACCCGCTCGTTAATTCAGATTATTTGAGGGCAGTGCTACGGTCATTTCACTGACTCCATTTTTGATACCCGTAGTTTTATGCTGAGGTGCTCTGTGAGGAGCTCGGGGTTTGCTTTGGTAGAGAAAGTAGATTCATTCAGCAGAATAAAATAACTGAACTATGTGGGAGCAAAAAGGTCAATTCAAAAACTTTAGTATTTTGAAATCAAAGCAGGCATGGTTTTCTGAGAACGGCTGGTGTTAGCTAGAACGCTGTGTGCTTGTAGCGGCATTTAGTTCATGCGTTAATTAGCTTTACCTGCAAACGTAATGCAATTAAGATTCCTTTGACAGGTTTTCTCGTAAGAAATCACTATTTTCTAATAGTATCCAGTAGTAGTATCCACTCTGGCACTCCACCGTGACCTGAAGGTGAACAAAACATCCTAGGATGAATAATGAATAATACCGTCACAATGATTAGCTCAAATGAGTTAATATTGATGACGTTTTTCCCAGTTAATGTAATGATAGCATGAGAAAACTACATTTTTTTTCCAGCTAATTGATGTCAGGTAAAGATTCCAAAGGTAAGTACTGCTCGCAGAGCATGAAGTGACATCAGAAAGAAATATTGGGGTAGAGGGGGGCCTCCTGGGTCCCATCTCATCTAACTGAGAGCAGCCAGGTTATATAATCACATTCATTATCACATTACCTCACTCATTATTAGCATGTTTATTAGCTCCAGGAATGAGCTAGAACAGAAGTTCTCTCACGGTTGTGAGCTCTGAGTCTGGCCAGGTGGCCTTGGCTGGTCCATCCAGATAGCTTGTTTAGAGGAGTGTCCGAAATGGAGTGGTTTGCGTCTGGCACAAATGACAGGACCCATCCAGCCCATTTGCCCACACAGCAGTGAGATGCAGTTGATTAAACATAGACATACAGTGCCATGGAAGATCTGTTGGACCCTCTGCTGCCTCTCCTCAGGTGGTCCCTGTTTAGGTGCCCTGAGGCATCTCCAGTGGCTCTAGATGCAAGCTGAAGTCCTACATTTTCGGAGAGAATGAGTTACCTGCTGGAGGAATCAACGTCCATTGTGTATGTTGGGGTGACCAGGTCATGCTGAACACCCAAGCATTTTCTTTTCCAAGTTGGGTGAAATGAATCCTATCCAAGGAAACCCTCAAGGGTTAGGTTTATTGTCCTGGTTCAGGCTGTGGTGACCAGACCCAGGGCTGCCCAGCAGGTATCCCCAGAAGAACGTGATTCACACACCTTGTTATTCCTTTTACTCCATCTTGATCCTCTTTTTGACCACTTTTCTTCCTCTGACCAAGTCTCCTCTCAATAAACAACCTGTCCCTAATTACCTGCAAGGGTTTGCTACAGATGTTGTGGTTCTGTCACCTCCTCACTCTTGGCTTTGTACGGCACTGCTGGTGCCGGCACCTGGGTGCTGTTGGCCTTGCAAGACTGTAGTCCCCAAAAGGTCCCAAATAATTTCCTCCAGTCACCTTCGAACCACCGGTGGGACCCAGCCTTCCCTCACGGTGCTCGCTGTGAGGTCTGTCTGCCTTTTACGTTAGTATCTGTGACCTCTGGAAATTTCTCATGCTGTCACCATCTCACCTCGGGTAGTTTTCCACGGCCTGCTCAGTTAATTGACCCTCAGGACTGCGCCGGTCGGGGCCTGGCCAGCGGTTCCGTCATTGGCTTGCAGCGCTAACGAAGATGCGGAGGATTATTCCCGAGCTTGGCCCTGGAAGTCGTCTGGGAAACATTCTCTAGTTGTGTGATGAGAGGAATGTGAAGGGGAGATCAAACCCATTTGTTCAGTGCTGGGTAAGGTGATACGGCGCGGTGCTGACACCTATACGCTCCTGTAAAGACCATCCCGAGATAAAGCAGCTCCAAGTGAGCGAGAAGCCACTGATAGTCTTAATCATAGACTGATACCATCAAGGCTTCAGGACCTAAAAGAATAGGGGGAAAGGCTTTCATACTGTCCTGATATTTTCTTTGGAGAAATTCCAGACATACGGTCTGGCTCCTGGCTTTGGATCGCTCCCAGATGTCAGATCCCAAAGGTTTGAGTTTATCTGTGACTTCTTCGGGAGACAGGTCGGTGGCAATATCATTAATATGCAGATGACACTTAGTTCTGTTTCCTTCTTGTCAGCCCAGGCAGGAGATATCTCTGTACTTTCCAGCGTCTGGCAGAGATAGGGAGCTGGAGAGAAGCCAAGGAACTGGGCTCGTTCCAGAGCTTCAAGCTGCTTCGCGATGGCTGGCCTGGAAACGAATTTTGAGGAACTTTTGTTCAGGGATTCATTTGTTCAAGTGCTTTGTTGCTCTCTGGGTCTTAATAGCCTCAAACTGTTCTGCGCTTGCCCTCTGATGGGAAAGCTGGGAATATCATCTTCAGCCAACCAAGGAACCCGAACCAAGCCCCTCCGCCAGCCGGAGAGCGTGGATCCATCAGCTCGTCCCTGCTGGAGGAACAGGAGCTGTGTTCCCACCTCCCTGCCTCCTCACCGCTCAGTCTCAGCACCCACTGCCTCCTGCAGGCTCTGGGACACATTGGGCACCTCCATGAGCTACCTCAGCTCCCCAAAACAGCAGAAAGGAGGCAGGCAGAGACGTGGCTGACCCTCTCCACCCTCTCCAAAGAATCCAGCAGAAGCTGGGAAGAGGGGTGAGGGCAGGGGAGTGGAGAGGAGCAGGGAGGGGGGGTGAGGCCGGGTAAGCAGGCAGGGTGGTGTGGCTGCCACCAGGCTCCCGTTACAAAACCTGAGACTTGATAAACCACTTGAAATTTCAGCTGCGGCCTTAATTCAGCTCACTCTCTTTTAGTCACTGTGGCTTTCTCAGGGTAAATTACACCCGCAGTTTGTTCCCAACAATGGGAGCAATTAGAAGCACTGTTTACTATCTACGGAGCCCTAAATAGTTGAAATCTAATTACTTCCAAAAGACTTTCCTTCTTTTGTCCTGTGGTGACCCCAGCATTAAATAGAATTGCTTTGGCCGTCTTGCCTAGGAATGAACTTTGAGGAAGCTGGAAAGCGAAATAATGTCTCTAGAAGGCATTTTCCTGAAGACTTCGTTCCAGCCAGAATATTTGCTAAGCCTGAACTTGCCCACATTTGGTACACGATGTAAAATAATTCTCTGTGCACATGTTCTCTGCTAATAGCAGGCCCCAGAGTCCTTGGCATTCAGCCTGCCGTTGTCTATCTTTGTCCTTTAGCGTGGTGTGCCATTGCCTGAGCACGTGGCCCACCACCTCCCTGCTGGCCTTCAGGAACCCCCGCTCTGCCCACACCTTCAGGAACCCCAGCTCAGCCCCCACCAGGCCGTCCCCAACTACAACCTGACCAAGAGGGAAGCGCAGAGATACAACTTTCTCCTGCCAGTCCAGTCCAGTCCCCATGTTTGGCACTGTCACACTGCCCAGGCCAGGAGTGGCCTGGAGAACATTGCCCTGGGTCGGGGAAGACCCTCAGCCACACACAAACTACTATATGATCTCGGTGTAATTTCTATTTGTGTAGTTGTGCAAATACATACAGTTCTATTTCCCTGCAGAAAATGGGTGAAACACCTTTACATCCATGCAGAAGAACACTATTTTCTGCTTGACTCATAATTTCTTATCATTTGCCTCAACTCTGAGACGCCCAGCCTTCTGTTTTATTATTTTAAAAATTCATTTATTGATTATTTAGGTATTTTTCTGACAATTATTATTTATCTCAGTTTTATTCAGTGATAAACAGTAGTAAGTTTTCATAGAAAAATGTATTAATGTTTATTTACGTTTGGTTTTCTTTTAGAAACAACTATATGGATTTCATGTGTCTTGGAATTGCTCTAGTGGAAATGCTGTTTCGTGCCATGGAAATAATCTGCAACTGATCTCCTGGTGACTTCTGGTTAACCGCAGTATTCATTAATTTCTTTTTAGATCACGTTGACAACCATTGGCTACGGTGACAAAACTCCCCTCACTTGGCTCGGAAGGCTGCTGTCGGCAGGGTTTGCTCTCCTTGGCATCTCCTTCTTCGCGCTGCCTGCTGTGAGTATGCCCAGAGGGGCTGGGAGAAGGGAACAGAGACTTCAGGAGTAGCTCCTACCCCTGGTACCACGCAAGGAGCTGAAGGAGGCTCTCTGCCTCTCTGCATGAAGAACTGCTGAGGGTTTTTGCTCTCTGAGAACATCGGGGAACCCCTAGCCAAAACCCAACCCAACCGTCCAGTGTTGCCATCACTCCTTGAGTCTGGGGGACTTTCTTTGGCAAGGACAAAACCGGGAAATAATCCTAAATCAGGCAGCAAACTCTTGCGTAAGGCTGAAATTCCTTTTTTTTTGCTATGAATTGTGGCTCATACATTACTGCTTTTAAGAAAAAAAAAAACCCCAACCCAGCTGGTATGTTTTTCTGAATTAGATTCTATTGAAAAAAAAGTGAGCTGTTTCTAATAGGTTGTCTTGTATGACCATGTTCAGGTCCCAAGAGAGCAGCAGAAGGCATTAAATCAACCACAAGTTAATGTCATTGAATGTAAAAATGCAACTACCATTTTCTGTGAATGATTGTAACTAAACATGACAGTTTATTTATGTTGCTTTTATCAACATTCAGGTGATTTTAATGGAAATGGTAACCATCTAATGACTATAGTGTAGCTTCAGAAATAACTTCATTTTTGTGAGTGAATTTCCTTTCTTCTTTAAATTAGTATTGAATAAGCATTAAATCAGAAGTGACATTTGTATTTTGTTGTATTGCATCCAGTGCAATGTATACAGAAAATCAATATTTTAATAGCTGGGTTCATTATCTGTAGATCACTATAAAATATGAATGTAATAATAACACATTTGTTTTCAGCCATATGGACAAAACGAGATTAACAGCCAGCATTTCCCAACAGCACTGGATCATCCAGTGTACTGCACTCATTTCTTATTCTGAGTACAGAGAGTATTTCAGTAGCTCTGGTGTGTTATAGTGCGTTATAATTATAATACATTACCTGTTTGTGAATCTTTGATATTTAATGGCAGTTACTATAATTAATTCTCTGTGTTGCCAAGTGGCCACTACCAAGGGAGTCAGCGTTAGCAGGGCTACCATCAATGTGTAAAAGATTAATAATCTTACAAATCTCTTACATGCCAGGACTTTTGTTCCTCATGTCATATCTATGTACAGACACCCATTTTCCTCACAAACACTTTTGTGTGGAGTCTGCCTGTAAAACAAGAGATATGTGTAAATCTTGTGCATTTCTGATCTTATTTTACCCTGACTAAGAATCAAGTGGAAATATTCTTCCTTCTAACGCAGACACATCCAGCAGCAATACTACCCTCCTGGCAGCCACAGAGGGGAACATCCTCACTCTTTGGGTCTGTTCAGCAAGAGTCAGATTTCTCTTACTTATTCAAACATAAAAAAGCCAAAAGGGGAGACGTTTCGTCGTCGCCTTTTTGTCAGAGCCTGTAGAATGAACGTTGGGGACTATTTAGATGGCAAAGAGTGAGAAGAAATGGTCTCAATCCGTAAAGCAAGGTGTTTTCTCACTTTTCCAAAAGCAAAATTTGTGATAAGCACCGAAGGTACGGAGTTTGAAGCCCATATGTATCTGGCATATTTGGCAGCCGCTCGTTTCATCGGTCCTGGCTTCAATTCCCCTGTGTGTCCCTGAGCAGTGAGGGGCGGTCGCTGTGGTGAAGCCCTAGACAGTCAGAAGTGGTGTAGCTGGGGAAATCCTACAGTGAAATGTCTGCACAGACCCCGTGTAGCCCGTTGTGTGTATCTGTTGAAGAAAACTGCCTGCGCAGTGATGGGTGGCGTTGCTGTTTTGCAGGGCATCCTTGGCTCGGGATTTGCACTGAAAGTGCAGGAGCAGCATCGTCAGAAACACTTTGAGAAAAGGAGGAATCCAGCGGCCAGCCTGATCCAGGTAACTATGAAATCCCTGAAAAGATAACAAGAGGTGGTTTAAAGTACCTATTGGAGCAAGTTTTATCACTTCAGTTTGGGAATTTTTGTGGGAATAACGCTTAACAGATGGGTTAGTTTCATGAAATAGGTTAATTCAGTGATTCCCAAGTACCTATTGGAGCAAGTTTTATCACTTCCGTTTGGAAATTTTTGTGGGAATAACGTTGGGTTAGTTTCATGAAATAGGTTTATTCCTGTGTGTTGCCATGATTGTGTCTATCGCATCTCGATGTGTGGGCTTTGAGCCCTTCTATCCACGCCGAAGAGGCCAAGTGGAGGATGGCAGCTGTACACCTGCACTTAGCAAATGACTTGGAAAAATAGAATTGATCCCGAGACAATCCAACTGACAGCGCAGCACTTTTCCCCATATTAAGCTGCTTTTTGTCTACTACGGGGTTCAGAAAGCTCCAGTGAGTGATTGGAGATGAACAGCCTCCTGCCCTGAGAATTGCTTTCACTCCTAGTCAAGTCAGAAGCTGGAAATGCGGGGCTGGCAATTCCAGATTGTCTGGAGGGGCTTCAGCTCCAATATTGACGTGATGGCGCAGATCAATGATTTAGAAAGAATTATTTTTTTTAAGCAGAAGTGTCATGATAATTGTTAAACAGCTGTTTCGCATGGGATTTTTCCTTAACTTACAGTCCTAGTTAAAAATGAGATAAACCTCTAAAGAATTATTTTGCACCTTGCTTTATTCTACACGGTGGACTGAAAAAAAAGCCGGGGGGCGAATAATCTTCTAGCATCCTTGTTTATTTTCTTGTGATCCCAAGTGTTTTATGTGTGCCACATGCTGTTTTTTTAAATTCTGAAATAATAAATCCAAATAAAGAAGCTGAACATGAATATACTGGAGTTTCATGGTAAGTCCAGGATAGATGAAGCATTCCTAAAGTTAATAAATGTTTTCTATTCTTACTGTTCAATGATTATTACATACTAAGTATTTGAGATTAAGTATTTATGGGAATAATTAATAAATATAAACCCAGTCCTTTTGTATCTATCGCACTGTAGAATGAATGGCCGAGATAGTTTCTAACACGTATATTCTAATCTGCTTCTTCCAAGTTTGGTTGCCAGAGGAAAGACACAGTAGATTTAGGGTCTGGATGTAGCTCTTTTTATTGTATGACAGTTCACCCAAGAGGTGAGTAAGGCAGCACCCTAAATAGATTGAGAGCAGCTAATGGACTGGTTTCAGAAAATGACTCTCAATGGGCAAAATCATTGTGAAAGGAAGACACTTGTGGTGGGATCCCATGATGAAGGCTGTCCAGCATTTACACGTTCATTTTCATATTCAGCATTTTCCATGGTCTGGAGATAATTATAAAATTGCTGATGGAGGTATTTGCCCATAGCACAAAGCCTGACAGAGCAGGAAAGATGAGGGCAGGCACCCAGGAATGAACCCAAGGGTGATCTGGGTGACTTTAGAGGGTGGAATGATCCCTACCAAATGTCTTAATGCACCACATACAGAACTTGAACTAGAAATTATTAATTCAGACTATTACAAGTGGCCTCTATCCCAGTATTACTGACTCTGGAAAGGATTTGACGAAGGATAGGAAACACAGAGGAACAAGAGTTCAGCATCTACAGTTCATAAATAAGAGTGGAAAGCTGGAAAAAGGAAAGAAAAGATTGGAAAAGATGAGTCCAGGACCGGAGAAAATTCCATGTTGATAAACGCAGGATGTGTCTAAGCTACGGATCACTGTCTACTGTAGAAATGCCTGGGCTTGTTTAAATTGTCTGTTGAGGATATTGATAAGGAGCTACGGTGGAAAGCAGTGTGCTCTAGTTTATCAGGATAATGTCTATTTTCTAATCAGTCACTCTGCTGAATTAGTCTGTGCTAACTCCTCTGTTGCCATAGATATACTGTCTGCTAGAGCCTTTCCCCGACTTAAAGAGAGCTAAGGCATCACTGTAGAAGAATGAAATGCTTCATGTGGGCATGCTTTTCTCAATTTCTTTAGATTATAAGAAATTACTCAGTGTGAATATTATTTGAGCATAAAAGTCCAGAGAGGAAGTACCGGAACCTACAGGACTATTTCATGTAGCAGAGAGAAACGTAACAAATACCACTGGCTATAAGAAAAAAACAGAATTTCAAATGAAAAATAACACAGAGATTTTTGACAATGAGACTGATCAACCAGTGGAACAATTTACAAAGTAAGTGACAGGTTCTCCAGCTGTAGATGAAGACTAGATGTATTTCTGGGAGATATGCAGTAGGAAAACACAGGTTATTAGACTCCATACAGCAATAGCTGGGTGACATTTAATGGCTGACAATGCACAGGAAGCACAGATTCAAGTGCAGATTCATACAGTCCTGTTGACAGCAGGGAGGCTGTTCCAGGCTGTAGAACTGAGGCTCTCTCTTACCATCCACATGCAGTTATAAATCCAAGGGGTGAACACATTTTCAATCCTGTGCTTTGGTCACTTACCTTTGAAAGGATTTATTTCATGTTTTTAAACATTTACCAGCGTTTCAAACCACAGAGAATGCGTCACTTTTCTTCCCGATGTTTTTTGTCTGGTTTTCATTATCATTTACAAAATGTGTTATGACCCTTTCGTTACCTCAGGCTGTGAGTTTGTGTGGGTGTCCCCTACGGACTTGTCACAAATAAATCAGTGCAAGGCTTTTTTGAGCACCTTTATCTGCTGAGTATCTTCTGGTGCTTCCACAAAGGCCAGTAGCTCTTACTTTACCCCGTAAAACGTGGGTCACAAAAGTTTTGGTAGGTTTTTAGTGGTGTTTCCTTAATGGACGGAACAGAGCCCATCCCCTCTCCCCATAATCAGTGGGGTGGTGAGTGTCACTTCGTGCTGGTGGATCCTGTGTGCTTTTCTGTTGTCTCCCCACACCAGGCCTCGTGGTGCTTTTACCCTCTGACGCCGGCCGAGCAAACCTGGCAGCCGCCTGGCGATATTATGACAGTTCCCTCCCTCCCCTCAGGCATGTATCAATGCTACCAACCAGAGAGGAGAGCCCTGGCCTGTCGTGGTTACTAATCTGCTTTTCAATTTCTTTTTTTTTTTGTTTTTTTTTCCTTTTCCACCCTCCCTCCCCCCCGCAGTGCGTCTGGCGTAGTTACGCGGCTGATGAGAAATCGGTTTCCATCGCTACCTGGAAGCCCCATTTGAAGGCCTTGCATACCTGCAGCCCTACAAAGTAGGTACCATGTCGTCTGTTCTGGCTTATGGAGAATCACTGTTTGTCTGTTTCGCCTTGTTTTGTCTTCCTAAGTCCTCTCGTTAAGCATTCTGACTAACGAACCAGGTCACTGTTAGCAGGAGCCCGGGGCATTGGGACAAATGAAATCGTTGCCATTTACCTGAGACCAGGTGTTAGAAACACTTTCCCCAAAACCCACCCGTGTGTCAGGGTTAGTGTTTCACCCGGTTCCCAATTATCTGCAGGGAGGGAAGGTTCAATGTGGAGCCTGTTCCTTGATTTAAGGGCATTTCCGTGGCTGTTCCTCTCCACGGGGCCGTAGCTGCAGGTCTGGGGCATTCTGCTCTGGGGACTTTGCTCTTTTTGGGCACAACTTCTCCTCTGTTCAGTATTTCCGTAGGGCAGATGTTCTCCTCAGTGACACCCGCGGCCAGAGGAGGACGATTAAAAGGCCCTGATTTCACAGTTTGCAGACAGGAGATATTTGGTGAGAGTATGGTCTGGGTGAGAATTTGCAGAGCACCAGCAGCCCAGGACTCTCCAATAATTCAGTAGAAGAGTCAGCAGAAGGCAGTGGGTTGGCTGGTTCAGTACAGGGCACGGAGCAGGAACCAAAGGGTGCTCGATGAAGATGGAAAAGCTCAGAGCCTCACGGGGAAGCCCTGAGGAGCACCCTCACTGCTGGTATTGCAGATGGTGCAGGAGGATGGGTGGTTTCTCTGGGTGATGAACACCCACGTGGCAGGGAAAAGGTGGCCATCTGCCAAAAAGCTCAGCCAAAAAGAGGTCTGGCTGGTTACCCAGAGCTCATCTCTGGGTTTCAAAGAGTCGACGAGAACAGAGCCACGAGTGATCCATTGCTCTAATGGTAATTCCCAAATGCTCCAGACTAAAAGGAACTTTTAGATTAAAAGTTACATGGAATATTGATTTTTGATATATACAACCAGGTTGAAGGCAACAGTGGTATAGACAAACAGACAGATGTGAAATTACATAAATAATGAAGTTGTGTCCCACCTAAAATATTCTAAAATATGACTGTCCCTCAGAAATGCATCTATTTATTACTTGAAATAAGCGTATTGCTGTGCTATCCTAAAATTAAACCTTTTATTTACCCGAGATAACTGTATCTAATAAGAGCCTACAGCTTTCTGTTAAATGTGTGCATTTTGCCTGTGCTTTGGAGGGGGACGCATGTTGTGCACGTGTTAAATCAACCAAAAAGGTTCTTTTTCAGAAGCCTTGTAGCTACCAGTCTCCCTTGACTGTTTTGGTGTGTGTTGTACACTAATTAACATAGCCATTTATGTTTATCATGTGTCTAACGTGGTCTGTAGCCCAGAGATGTGACTATTATTACCTGCATAACAAGTGTGTTTTTCCCTCCCACTCCCTGACCTGAAGAAAAGAACAAGGGGAAGCTTCCAGCAGGTTTGTAGTTTCTTTTATTTCTTTTATCTGTGAAATCGCTGCTGCTTAATGGCTTTGTGATGTCTCGGGGTCTGTGCAGTAGGTGCAATGACCTGTTGCTGGTAACCGATAATATCACAAACTGCTTTTTTTTTAAACTCCAATCAATAGACTAACGCTGCTGAAATTTGCTTCTTTGTCCTGGTTTTCGCAAGGGAAAATCTAGGCAGTTTTTCACTTTTCCAGCCACATGTTGTAACTTGGGGGGGGGTCTGGGTTTGAACATGGTCAGAGCAGCGAGTGGAGCCCCTTCCCCAGACCCCGCTCCTGGGCAAGGACATGGCCCCCGGCTGCTGCCCAAAAATCGGGGCTCATTTTCAATGCAGGGAAGGTGTTTGTCCCTTCAGAAACCCTCAAATTAGCGTAGGTATAAAGAGGACCTCATTAACCCCTGAGATGCTGGTGCAGGGTCAGCGGCTGCTCCTCACTCCTGCGCCCACAGGCCGCTGGGTGCTGCTGCCACCAAAATACCCCTGTTTGTGGTTAAAAACGTAAATGTGCACTGCTGGGTGTACCTGGAGAGATCCGTCCTCCACCGTTTAACTCCTTCCTCACCGGGTGATGCTGGGTGACCTGCATGGGGTGCTGTGTGGAGTGAGCTGCTGCCTGTCCCACCCCACGCCCAGGGGGTGTTTGTGTGCTGCGTTGCTCCCCCAACATGCTCTTGGCTCTCTGCTCCCTTCCAGGAACGGTGGAGACAAACTTTGATTGCTTCAGGTGAAAGCTAATTGTTTTTTTTTTCCCACCACGGTGACTTTTGTATTTACAGCAATGAGTTCTTGCATCTTGTCAGGTGCAGAGCCCCAGTCCATCAGGAGGTAGCTAACGGCTGCCGTGCAGTTGGGTAGGGAGCTGTGCTCCTGAGGTTGTCCCTGCATACTGATTTTAAGAAAAATACGTATTTCTCAACATATTATACACATTTCTCAAAAATACAAATTTTTGAGAAAAATACGTATTTCTCAACGTATTATACATAAGTATTCTAATTATTTATCGAAAGTAGTCAACCTCTCTGGTGAATCCACGCTGAAAATGAGATATTTCTATAAATCATTTCTAGAGTTCTGCAAGTTATTTTAAAAGCTGGTGTGTTGAATTCCCTGAATCTACAAATGCACACACTGAAGGCAAATAATAGCATTTATTTCTGCTCAGTTCTACAACGTGGCTGAGATTCTCCCCGTGCAAGAGCCTCGGTGGGGAGTGATGGATCTCACCCCAGGCCGGGAGCAGGAGCAGGAGCCGTCCCAGGCTGTGTGCGGGACACAGGCCGGTGTCTGCAGAGGATGAGCCTCTCCCTTCTAGCGCTGTAATTAACGAGCCTGAATACCAACTCCCCTGTCAGACTGCTCTCTGCTGCAATAAGGAGGAGTTTTGCCAGTACAGGAGCTCGGGGGAAGAACTCATCCTCTGAGGGACACGAGTAAATGATACTCCGGAATTGTCTCCCCCTCCCGTTTCTGAAGGAGGATTTGGGGAGAACTCTCCGCATGCTGCCCATGAACACGGCCGGGGGTGCCCTCTGGCTGGAGGGGGGATGCCTGACCCCTTCCCCAGCAGCAGAACGCTCAGTAACACGCTCCTCTGTCTCCCCTCACTCCTAGTGAGCTTTGTAGTAATAAACAGAAGCTCTTCAGGATGTACACCCCTCGGAAACATAGGTACTCAGCATCCTGCCTATTCACATGACGTGTGGGAATGCCGGCTAACAGCAGGTGCATGACTCATTTACTTCCCCTCCTCGGTGCTTTAAGGTTCCTCGCCCCTCCAAAGGAGGTTTCTTGATTGATTTAAGTGCTTGTACTTCCCTTGTTGCCTGTTGCCTGCGATGACGTGGATACGATGCCGATAATGCCGGGTTTTGGCACTGGCCCGGTTTCCCGAAACCCCATTCCCTTCTCTGCCTGAGACCTGAACTTTTGGAATGTGTTGTTACCCTGCGTGGAGCTAAAGCCGGGGTTGGGGGTTTGGGTAAAGGCATTTCCCCGAGTCCAAGAGGATTTTTGTAACCATGGCAGTTGAGTTCTCCATCCCCCGATGGGTGGGGAAGGCTGAGCTCTGACAGGCCAGGCCATGCCAACGGCCAAAACGGGCCATTGCTGCTGGGAAGAATCCCCTTGGACACAGCCCGAGGAAGCTGTGCCTGCGTCCTGCTCGGGGAAGTAGGGGGATGCATGTGAGATAACCATCGGCCTCAGATGGATTCTGTGGAAACCGTGTCTCTTACCAAAAATGGTAATTCCTAGGTGGGTGGATCTTATGGGAAGAAACCAACCCTTGATTTATAACTCAAGCTTATTGCCTTTTTTTTTTTTCTTACTTTTAACAAATAACTTAAAATACAATAGAAGTACAAACTGAAGATAGAAAACGGAGATTTAAAAAAAAAAAATTCTCTTAATCTGGAAACTGTTTTGAAAAAGGAAAAAATACACAAAGCCCCTGAAGTTACTATATTTTTTTTCTGTTTGGCAATTGAACTTTAAGACATTACGTCCCTGAAATTCTCGTTATTACTCATTGAAGGTATGAGATATAACACTAAGTTTCTTGGGTTCGTGGTCCTAGCGTGAGACTGGTGGAGAAGTCTTGAAGGTCTGAACCCCAGGCCTCACTGTGCTCTCCATTGCGATTGCAATTGTTCAACTCAATCTCAGTGAAGTTGTCTGTAGGCTTGGTAAGAGTCAACATCTGCTTTGGAAGCAAACTGCTGCAAACTGGCACATGCCTTTGCTTGCTGCTGTCTGCCGTGGGTGGGAATTTTTGGCAGTTTTAGCTTCTGTCTGGACTGGAGACCCAAAGTGTTCTCCCTCACCCCCAGGCCCTCCAGGCACTTCTGGTTCATTTCAATTTCTTCCTGTTCCTGCTTCCACCAGCCAGCTCAGTGTGAAAAGCTGTAAAATAAAGGGATAATTGTGGCCGGCAGCAGTGCTGCAGGGCTGGGGCTGAAGCAGGGCAGAAGATAAAACTGGCCCAAAGTGCAGGGAAACAGGCAGGGAGACAGGGGAGAGGGACTGGGAGGCAAAGAGGTGCCCAGTCAACCAAGAAGTGTAGTAAGGTGGTCCATGGGAGACAGAGCGAGCTGTGAGTATGGGGGAGAAAAGCAGAGGTTTGTCAGCATTTATCAATTTCAACAGAATCTTATCAAATCTAGTCACTTGGTCCAGCAGAGAAGTCCCGGTGTCCCCTGCAGTGAAGCTACAGTGACCTCTAGTGTCCTTGAACATCTCCTCCTTCAGAAAACAAAGCTGGAAAAGGCAGAATTTAAAGACATAAGAACTAGAAAGTCCTTGCTGGTTCCCTGTCCCAGGGACGTGAAGGGCTCGTGCAGGTACTGACAGGAGGAACGAGCGGTGAGATCCTACAACCGACCTTCCAGAAGAAAAACAAATGGAGAAAGGTCACTTGCTTCTGTCCCCCAGGTCCCAGTTGTGGTTGATCTCCACTAAAAGGTGCTGCAAAGCTTTGGGTTATGGACAGGAACCCATTCCACAGCTCAGAGCCTGCAGGAACAGGGGAGCAGGAGGTGCCAAGAGATGACCGTGGCCAAGGAAGAGTGTAGTAGGAAGCAAAGAGGTGTATAAACCACCACCAGTGGTGGCTGCGGTGGCCACTGATTCATGAGCAGAGTGCCCAGAGGTGCTGGGAAGGAGGTGAGATCCTCTCCACTCTGTGTCTCTGACATCATCTGCTGCTGCTGCAGAGCCCAGAGCCGGGTGCCATGGAGTCTGCAGGGAAAGGGACCTCCACCGTGGGGAGAAGCCTGCTCAGGGTGCCCCCAAAACGCCCCGATTCTGGTCCTTTCACCAGCGCCTCATTGCTTGGATTTGGGGAACTAGAGATACTCGGGTTAAGGAGCCGTTGTGTACCACTGAGCTTTTAGAAATGGAATAACCATGTGTACAAATCATCTAAAGGCAGCCATTGCTTTCATTAGTACAAATTAATTGACAGAACGACATGTATGCTTTGTTCCCGTTTTTTTGTTTTCATTTTTATTTTGGAACTTATGGGATTATAAAAAATGTAGTCCATACTGATTGTTTTTATGGCTATTCTATCAATTTTCCTTTCATTTGAATTAGTGTAACAGGAGCTGTCCAAAAGCTTTTTTACTCAAAGATTTGTCAAAAAAAAATCATATTCATGCTTCTATACGAATACAGTTTGAGCCATAAGAGGAGGCAAAACAAGCACAGGGGACAGATGCCTAGGAATAATATCTATAATAAGAAGTCCATGTTGACTCTGTGCTCATGCTGTATAGTATGGCAATGCAATAATGTGGGTAATAAGTATTTTACAGCTTATATTTTCATGAAGTTGTACAATTCCTGAGCTGAAATGTGATTCAGTCCTGAAATGCAATTTGTATTGGAAATTAAATTTTAGAACTCCCTTTTCTTTCCAGTAGTAGGTTCTTGGGGGGTTTGCCTTGCCTGTGCACCAGCACCCAGGGCTGCAGGTCCGGGTAGTGGTTTGTGATGGAGATAGATAACATTTCCAGCACTGCCACGTGTTTATTTCAACAAGTGCTTACTTTGGGCAGGGGAAGGAGGGGATTGCATTCAGAAATTATAGCAGAGGTATTCTTTCAGGTGATTCAACGTGCCATATGGAAATGCACTTATTTAATAACCTTTCTGTGGACGTGCTCATTGTTTAGCATTCTTGAAAATGATCTCAGTATAAGCTTCCCAGCATGTTCTTTGCCTGCCACAAACTGCATCCTTCCTGCTCTCTGTGCTGTTTGCATTCCGAACCGAGCGCTGGGCTGTGCTGTGCATGGACCAAGATACCTGATTATCTTGAAATTTCACAGCCACAGAGGTTTATAACTACTTTCCATTTCATATAACTACCTATTAATGGTGTGTTTTCAGAGTGCAGTAGGTTAAACATCTAAGAGCCACATAGTCCATGTTAGCACTGGGTAATTAGCTGCAGGATGCCTTTCTGGTGAGGACATCTTACGGACACACTGAAGTTAAAGGCCAAGAGTTTGAGAATACTAGAAAGTGTCTTAACTTCAAATGCAGCATAATTTTCAGGGAGACAGTCTCTGCTGCGGGGGTTTCAAAGCACCCCAAAGCCTGTGCCCGAGCAGTAGGGCTGATGACACGGTGACACCACCCCAGGAGCAGCTCCTCCCTGGCAAGAACAGGAGCACGGATTGACGACCATTCCCTTGGACGGGCCGTTGGACTTAATCTCGTAGATAAATCAAGGTTTCCAGGCCTTGATGTCAGACTTCCTTTCTGTTTCCCCTTCGGGCCTTCTGCTATGGGAAGGGACAAGCAAAAATGCTAAATAAAGAGAAAGCAGAGGCAGATGGTCACGGTGACCACAGGGTGTTCCTCAGGTGTGTCTGAACATGAGCAAAGGTAATCGTAAGCACTGGGAAGTAGAAAATCTACATCTCCCACACTGAGCTGGCCGGAGGGGAGGGCTATGAGAGCAGGAGGGAAAAAAAAACCAGCTTAGAATTGGCCGACTGTAAGACCACAGGGCCACCACTGCTCCAGCAGTGACAGCCCTGGGGCTGGCTGGGCTCCTGGGCCCGTCCCAAAGCTCCTGCCCAGCCCCGGCTGTGGGACCCACCTCCAGGTTTGACTCCAGCAATGGGGACAGTGGGCACACGGCGTGGTGTGGCAGTGCCCTAACCCCACCGCGCTGACCCGGCGTGCTGTGGGACCTTGGGTTTCATCTGATGCAAGTAAGTGCTGTAAGGAGGAAATCTGGGCGTGGGTGATCACTAACGATGTGTACGAAATGTTGGAAGTGCCACGTTTTGAAAAAGCATGAGTATACTAACAGTAGTTTTGCCTGCTTAAAAAACAACCCAACCACCCAGAAGACCCCTACATGGCATGCAATAATAACAGGATACGTTTTGTTCTTGTTCACCTGAAGAGACCGCCAGAAGTGCACTGAGCTGGGCTGACTGAGATGAAAATAAATCTATCTAAAAACCAAGGAATAAAAAAAGATGAATCTGTAACAATTGGGTGAAATTTGTTTCTCGTTGTTAATTTCAATTTCCTTTACAAGGTTATTCTGTACCGTAAAATAGACTGCCATTGATGATGCCTCTATCAAAAAAACCAAGTACATCAAATCGGTTTCATTCCCAAAGGAAATATATTCAGTGAAAGTAAAAGTGTGTAAGAAACAGACTTGTACTAATGAGAATTTTTAGAAATTATTTCCTGATATCATGCAATAGAAAAAAAAAGGAGTGGAGTAACCATGGAATAAAATGCATTTCTCTTCTTCACAGTCAGAAGCTGAGTTTCAAGGAGCGGGTGCGGATGGCCAGCCCCCGAGGGCAGAGCATCAAGAACAGGCAGTCTTCGGTGGGAGACCGCCGGTCCCCAAGTGCCGACGTGGCCACCGAGGGCAGCCCCACCAAAGTCCAGAAGAGCTGGAGCTTCAACGACCGAACCCGCTTCAGGCCCTCGCTGCGGCTGAAGAGCTCCCAGCCCAAACCCGTGGTTGACGGTAGGGTTTCTCATGTCTCCTTTGCCCTCACACGCTGCTCCCAGCCTGCTCACGCGGTCCCACACCTCCACTGTGAGTGCCACCCCTTTCTGGAAAGCAGAAAGGATTGTTATTTGGGGGCAGAGGCACAAGGAAGCTCTATCTTGCTTCAAAGAGGCTGCCAATGATCTGTGAAGGATTGATGGCTGAGGCCAATGGTGTGAGGGTCACCAAGGCCAAGTGCCAGGTCCTATTCTTGGGTCACACCAACCCCAATGGATGCTCCAAGCTGGGGGAAGGGTGGCTGGAGCTGCCCAGGGGAAAAGGACCTGGGGGTGTTGGTCAACAGCGGCTGAATGCAAGCGTACCCAGGTGGCCAAGGAGGCCACCAGCATCCTGGCCTGTGCCAGGAACAATGTGGCCAGCAGGACTGGGGCAGTGACCATCCCCCTGGACTGGGCACTGGTGATGCCCCACCTTGAGGGCTGTGCCCAGTTTTGGGCCCCTCAGGACAGGAGGGACACTTAGGGGCTGGAGTGGGTCCAGAGAAGGGCAATGGAGCTGGTGAGGGGTCTGGAGCACAAGTCTTATGAGGAGAGGCTGAGGGAGCTGGGGGTGTTCAGCCTGGAGAAAAGGAGGCTGAGGGGAGACCTTATTGCTCTCTCCAACTCCCTGAAAGGAGGGTATAGCCAGGGGGGGTCGGTCTCTTCTCCCAAGGAACAGGCCATGGGACAAGAGGAAACGGCCTCAAGTTGTGCCAGGGGAGGTTTAGGATGGATATTAGGAAAAATTTCTTCCCCAAAAGGGTTGTCAAGCCTTGGAAGGATGGAGTGACTTGATGATGGAGTCACCATCCCTGGAGGGATTTAAAAGCCGGGCAAATGTGGTGCTGAGAGACATGCGTCAGTGGTGGGTTTGTCAGTGTTGGGTTGATGGTTGGACTCGATGATCCTAAAGGTCTCTTTGAATTTAGATGATTCTTTGGTTTTATGATCTATTTTTTTAATAAGAAATCTTGTCTCGGTGGTGCACAGGGAGCAACTGGTGGAAAAGGGGGTGACTGTGGAAAATCCCAGATGGTCTAAGTGCATCCCAGGGGTTTGGCCACAGGAGCTGTGCCCTTGCAGCTCCTGGATATCCAGCTGCTGCCCAAACCCACACACAAAACCAGTGTCATTGCTTTTGTGTGTTGCTTTCTAAAGGGTATTTTAGATGTAAGGAGGGCTCCTGATGCAAGGAGAACTGGATCTCTGCGAAAAGGGCTTGCTGCCCCACAGCTGGTAGGAACATAGACCTTCCCGCATGCTGTGTCCCCACGGGAAGGGTCTCTGCTCCTCTCTGCTCTCTGTTCACCAGCTAAGGTCTTCTCAGGTGTTAAACTGGGCACTGTCCAGGCAAAGATCTTCATCTACAAGAGTTTTCCAAAGTGGAGACAGTGTCTCCCCTGAGCAGGGAGCCCCGAAGCTGGTGAGAGCCAGGAGCCGAGAGCGAGGGAGGTGCTCTGAGAGGTGCTCTCACAGCTCTGGGGGTACCGCTGCCCCAGCAGACCTAGGGAGCCCCGAAGCTGGTGAGAGCCAGGAGCCGAGAGCGAGGGAGGTGCTCTGAGAGGTGCTCTCACAGCTCTGGGGGTACCGCTGCCCCAGCAGACCTGGATTGGGGTTTCTCCATTCACTTTTTTTTCCCAATTTATGGTGTCTTGCTCTTTCCTGTGGCACCCCCAGACCCAAAATAAGGGAGATGGACTGACCAGCTGCAACAGGAGGCTGTGCCCCTGGCTGTATGGGGAAAGTACAACATAGCTCAGTTGATCCGAGGGAAGAGGTACACCTTTCCACTCCTCCTGCAATGCCAATCAGGCACGTTACAGCCAACAATCGTGGTAACACTCCTTAAGCAGAAGTGAGATTTTGGCATCTGCTTCCTTTTCAGCGCACGTTATCACAGGCACCTGGGGCGCAAAACACCCGTTGAGCCGAGATGCCCCATCCCTCAGCTGAGGAGGAACCACGCAGTTCCTCTCCCCAGGAAAAGCCTGGGTAAATAAACGTTTCCTGGAGGGTTAACGAGGCAGAGCGAGTCCTTCCAGGCTCCCCCTCCCCTGCGGAGACTTCTCAGATGCTCTGGCCGGGTTGGGGTGAGCTGCTGGGCTGTGCCAGCCACCGGGCTGCTCCCCAGGTTGCCCACAGCCCTGGCCCATGGCACAGGGGCTGTGGGATGATGGCCCGGGTCCCACGCTGAGCTGGGACAGGGACACTTGCACCCCAGAGGGAAGTGAGAAACGCCCTGGGGACCAGAGTGGGGTTCAAGCTGCCCTGCCTAAATTTAGGCTTCCTACAAAGTGGCTTACATCTCCCCAGAACCACACCAGGAGTGGTTTCACAGGTTAAAGTCCTGCAATTCACACCCACACCCTGCCTGGAGGGGAGCTCAGCAGAGAGGGATTTGCAGAGCCCACCCCTGGGGTATTGGGGGGGTCACTGCTGCTCCAGCCCGGAGCCTGCACCTCTCCAGAGCATCATCCCAGCTTCCACCAGCCCCTTTGTCACAGAACGGGTTCATAGCCATGATCCGCACCAGAAGAGCATGTTCCCTCCTGTTGTCTCCCTTCCAGGCAAGGGGTGGCAGAAGCAGCACCTTGGGCATTTCTGTAGACAGAAGATAATAACAGGAGCAGCAGCGTGTTCCTCGCTGAGCCAAAACCCCTCAGGATCTTCCCGCTCCTCGGGGCGAGCACAGCCTGTTTCCTTGTTGGCAGCTTCCAGCTACTGGTCCACCCTCGGGAACTGGGGCCAACAGATATGACCAATTTCTCATCCATGGCAGGAGGAACGGCTTCCATTGTCCCTGCCATTTAGGCAAATGCCAAGTTTCCACTCTGGGACCTTGTCCAGCTGCTTCTAGGTCTGGTCTCATCAGGGAGACCTCCCTGTGCTCCTTGCTGAACGGCAGCTCCTTCCTGCCTTCCCCAGCCCCTTGTGGGAAAAGTCAGGCACTACCACCTTTGGTTGCTTCTTTTTCTTTTTCTTCTTTTTCTTTTTCTTTTTCTTTTTCTTTTTCTTTTTCTTTTTCTTTTTCTTTTTCTTTTTCTTTTTCTTGTCTTTGTCTTTTTCTTTTTCTTTTTATTTTTATTTTTCTTCTTCTTTTTCTTTTTCTTCTTCTTTTTCTTTTTCTTTTTCTTTTTCTTTTTCTTTTTCTTTTTCTTTTTCTTTTTCTTTTTCTTTTTCTTTTTCTTTTTCTTTTTCTTTTTCTTTTTCTTTTTCTTTTTCTTTTTCTTTTTCTTTTTCTTTTTCTTTTTCTTTTTCTTTTTCTTTTTCTTTTTCTTTTTCTTTTTCTTTTTCTTTTTCTTTTTCTTCTTCTTCTTCTTTTTCTTTTTCTTTTTTTTGATATGTTACCGATTTCCTGGTTGGATGTGCTTTCTGCATAGATGACTCAATGAAAAGGATCTGGAGATTATGTATTTCATTAAGAACATTTTGCATTTTTCTGTGGATGAAAATGGAGCATTTGCAGCATTTTATTAATACCTCTCAGTTGTCAGGTCCTCAAGGCGTTCTCTGGCCAAAGCATTAATTATTTGGGCGTGCTGATCTTCCAGCCAAACCAGAACCTTTCTAGATGAAAACCTGGGCACAAAGAAATACCCTTGAAAATCTGGTCCTTCTGGTGATTCTTACATCTCTGTGGCATATTCAGGGGGAGAAGAGATGATACTTGCCACAGATCTTTCAGAGAGAGACAACGTGGGTACCCAGTCCAGTGTCAAAACTCTGAATCAGCAATATAATGAAAAAATAATAACCTCTCATTATGAGGCAGAGGAGGAACTGCCTCGTGGTGCAGGTGAGATGCACTGAACGAGCTCCATGTAAAAATAAAGCAAAGGAGCAAATGTCTAAGTAGAGGGTTCAGAAGGGAGAGGAAATTGTCAGCTTAGAAGGATGATGGGAGGCAGATCATCAATGTCCTGACTCTGCAGGGCTGACTGAGCTCCGGTAGAGGATGCAGCTGGAATCTGGGCCAAAATCATCAGAAAGAGACTGCTGGAAAAAACTAAACATTAGCCTGTGAAGGGAGGTTTCTGATCCAGGCAGGAGCTTACGGAGGCAGCTGAGGGGCTAGCACAGCTGAAAATGTAGTAGCCCTCCTCTTTGGCTGCCCCGTAACAAAAGCTTCTGACACCCCGGACCGGGCACTAAACCTCTGCCTGAGTTATTGTGCCTTTGTGGTAACCTAGAGACACTGGGTGGCTTTTTGAATAAAACATCAAAAGCGTCCCGCGCTGGGGATACCGCAAACCTATTTCATTTGATTAATTGAAAAGAAGTCTCCAAGGAAATGCTTGATCTCTTGCCCCGTCCCCAAACTCTACAGGCTCACACGACCTGTGGCGGGTCGTTCCCCCCGGGCCATTGGCACACATCTTACATCTGGGTGGGTTTCAATTTGGTGATTCACAACGTGAGCCCCGTGCTGTGAAAGGACCTGCCCGGTTTGGGTAAACCCCCTACGATGGGACTCGGGGACGTTGTATCAGCAACGCATGAATTGGCACTCGGTGGGAGATTTATTGTCTTCTGATTGTTCAGCTTGATGGTAGAGCTCTCGTTTATTACTGTTGTCACTGTAATTAATTAGGAAGATCTTATAAAAATAACCTGGCATTCTCATCTAAGCTCCGAGGCTTTTTTTTTTTTTCATTTTGTGTAAATAGGTACAGGCTGTTGGTTTTGGGTGTTATTTTAGTTTATTCCACCTGAGGTCCTGGCCATATGAACCCATAATTTAGCATCCCCAGGCATTTTCCTTTCTCACTCTTCTCACCTGGCTGTCTAATCATTGGCCAATGTGCCCCTATTTATAATAATATCAGCCCTTTTAACTGCACAATTATTAGGTGCATAATGAATTGTTTTGAGAAAGTCTCCCAGTCCTCTGTGTCATCACTCAAAATGAAAAGGACTCCTTTCTAATTAAGTAGTGGGAGCTGTTCCATGAAATATTGCCAGGGCTGAAATTTTTTGAGAAGTTAAATAATAACTAAAGATAATTGAGAGTTATTAGAAGGGAATGCCAGAATTTTAGGCATTTGGAACTTGCCTGCATTTTATGATAACTGATAGAAATTAGGTTTCTGGCCTTAAAAAATTACTTACAAAGACAGGAGACTAGAGATAATTATAACCAGAATATGTAAAACACTTTCCAACAATTCTATCTTCCATTTTGGCCAAATCTGAGCCTTTTTAGAAATGCTTTCATGTATGAAACGTTCTTAGGGATGTTCTTTATGATGTGCCTCACACTGCACTGCAGCTGCCAAATTCCAGCTCTGGTGTCTTCTTCTGTTCCTCACCTGGAAAGTTTTGCCTTTCTCTGGGGAAAATAGAGGGAGGAAGGAGGGGGCTATGGCTGCAGCCCCACAGACTGCAGGGGAGACCCTTGGGGGGTGCAGGAGGGAAAGGGGGTTCCGCAACAGCTCCTCCTTCCAGGAGGCACCAGTTCCCACCCCTCCCCTTCCCGATGAACTGCTTTCCAGCCTGGAAATGGCAACCATCTCCTAAAAGCTCTCTGTAATCCCTATTTCCAAATCCTGGCATCCTTAGGTCCTCTCTCTTCATTTTGCCGCTTGGATGCTGTTGTGCACTGCCAGGGATTTGTGTGTCACTTCCATTTTCTAGCCAAATGGCAAGCATCTAAGGTGAAGACCACAACAGGAAAGTTTCCTTCTCCTGCCTCCTTTCTTCTTTCGTGATTAGAAGAAACCTTTTTTTTATATATATATTTTTTAAATTTTTTTCAGGGATTGAGGGAATAAATATGTGATTTGCTCCCTCGGGCCTCCTGTTCCTGGCCTTTCCTCTGGAAATGGTGTAAACATGCTGCTGCCTGTCCCTCTCTGGGGCAGCTCTGGGCGGCCTTATCATTAAGCACGTGATTAAGTTCCATCCCAATTAGTGTTGTCTTTTTCCAGTTGTTTTTTTCCTCTGGAGCTGAGCAAGCCCTCACGGTAACAGGAGTTCTGTGACGTCTTCACTGAAAGGGAGTCTGCTGCTCCGTGCTTTAGAGCAGAGGAAAGTCTGGAAGAAAGTCACTCCTCGGGGTGGTGAAGGGAGTTTGTGTTCACGGCTCAACCAACGGGGAAAGAGCCAGGGCTTGTGAGGGGATGAGAAGTTTCTTGAAACAAATTTAACCGAAGGCGCTCGGCTGAGACACGGTTTATTTTGATAAGGAGAAACTGCATTAATTGTATGAAGGTAAAACATACAGGTGCTTGTACTTGCAGAAATTTTTGAGGGGAAAAAAGTCCCTGAGATTTTGTGTAATGGGGGTCGGTCTCTTCTCCCAAGGAACAGGCGATGGGACAAGAGGAAACAGTCTCAAGTTGCACCAGGGGAGGTTCAGGCTGGATATTAGGAAACATTTCTTCACGGAAAGGGTTATCAGACATTGCAATGTGCTGCCCAGGGAAGGGGTTGAGGCACCATCCCTGGAGATGTTCAGAAGATGAATTGACACAGTGCTCGGGAATATGGTTTAGTGTTGGTGTGTGTGTTTTGGTTTTTGGTTGTTTGGTTTGTGGTTTTTTTTATGGTTGGACTAGATGATCTTAAAGGTCCCTTCCAACCTGGGCGATTCTGTGAGTCTGTGCAGTGGGACGTTTGTGGAAGTACTTTAAATACATGCAGGATTCCTCAATCTTTTTAGGGCTAAATCCCTGAGTCTCCAGCACAGATACTCAGGGTGGGGAAAGGTTCTTCAAAAGTCATGGAAAACTGAGTGAAATGCCCCTTCCTGGTGGGCACCTGCAGAGGCACAACGGGAGCTCTGCATTGCTGTCAGAAGGGGCTGAAAGACCAGAATAAGGAGAGTATGGAGCTGCCAGCATCGCTGCTTGAGCAGGAGAGTTCCCCGGAGCTCAGCAGTGTTGATGAGGAGGCAATTAGCAGTCTGATGCTGTGGCAGACGAGCAGAGGCAGCCATCCGTCCCCACCGCCCGCGGGGCTGTGCATCCTGCCGTGGCACCCTCTCTCCTCCCAGGGCTTTGGATTTACAGATCTCACACTTCTCGCCCAGGAATTAGAGGCTCTGGATTCTCTGCTCCTTTTCTTCCCGACCCTTCAGGCAGAAAATGAGCTTGGAGAGGAGTGTGTCCCCTCGGGGGGCTCCGCGCCGGTGCCCCGGGCAGCCGGAGGCAGTGCTCATGAATTTCTTGGGCTTCAGTTCCCCAGTGGAACTCTGGATTTTCAGTGATAGTTACAAACTATGGCTCCATGGAAATCAGCACCTGTGAAAAGCAGGCCACCATCCATTTTTCACCTGGAGTCTTGCATTGCAATGAAAATCATTCAGGTGTTTTTTTCCAAATTGGTGGGTTTTTTTGAGAAGTTGGCACAACGCTCTGCTGCCACATGAATAACTGAGAGACACACAAACGCACCATCGGCTTCAGGCACCTCTTTAGGTTTTGCTGTGTCCAAAGGTGGGTGCTGAGCCTCAGCAGGATGATTTAGATCACCCTAATGGCCCCCTACTGAAGGCTTCCAAAGACCAAGTCAAAGGTTGGTCTCTTTTAGGATGGATATTGGGGAAAATTCCTTCACAGAAAGGAAAGTCCTGCCACCCCGTCTGTTAGCTCACCGCCTCCCCTTAAGACAGAGAATGTGATGAGAAATGGTGAGACACCAGGAACAGCCGTGCTGGTACTAAAGTGTTCATTTGTTTGAAAAATACCAGGGCTCCCCTCCTGCCCCGCTCTGCCCGTGTGCGCTGGAGACCGCCCCGGCCGCCAGTGGCACGGGCACAGAGACAGATGAGGAACATCAGGGAGTTTTTAACCTGAGGAAGCTCTGTCCTCCTTGATTTGTAGCCCTTGTTTTTCCAGAGCCCCTCTGCAGGAGGTTGGAAAACACGGAGGAAGGGATTTTTAGCTGCTGCTTGTTTAAGTCCCCTCTTGTGTTTTGCAGCTGACACCAGCCTGGGGACGGACGACGTGTACGACGACAAAGGGTGCCAGTGTGATGTGTCGGTGGAAGATCTCACCCCTGCTCTGAAAACTGTCATCAGAGCTATCAGGTGAGTGAAGAACACTGAATGAATCCGTACTTGAGATCTCTTTAATTAAGACACTAATTAACTGCGTATCAATTAACAAAATGGTAGCTAGTTGAACTTATTACGTGGGTATATTTGTTACACAGCTAATGCTAATGCAGTTTATTTATGCTTTCTTTTCTTTAGTATTTTATTTAAAAGTCAAAATATTTTATCTGTTCTGTTATCAACTTTTCAATGTTGAAAAATGTACATGATTTGACTCAGAAAAGAAAGTAATGGATGCTGCTTCCCACTGTATTTCCTAGAATCCAAAATTCTGTCACCCAGTTTGATGTAGTTTTACTGAATGTATATCACTTTGCCTGGAAAAGTTCCTTTAAAAGTTTAGGGGGTTTTTTTTGCATTTTCACATTCCTGAAACCGTCTGCGATAGGGCTTTTATTGCCACCTCCTTCTGGTAACAGCAGAATAATTACATCCATTTGATGGTGCAGGGCCTCGCCCGCCGCTGTCCCTTGAGCTAAATGTAGCCGGTGATCCTTAGGGGTCCCTTCCAACTTGAGTAACTCCCCTGCAGTGACAACCCGCCGGACACGGCCCCTTCCCTCCCCTCTGCCACCCAGGCCGGTGAGGACTGAGGGCGAGTCGGGCTGTTTCTAACACCAGCAGGGACAGGCTGACAGCTCACTTGCAGGCGACTGTCCCAACTGTTTTTCCAACCTGCCTGGAAATGACCCCAGAAGCCATGTCAGATGCCAGGTCCCCATCCGGAGCCACCGCTCCCGGCCACTCAGGTGTCACCCCTGAGAGCCAGCTCCTGCCAGCGACGCCGCCGGTGACAGGAATCCTGCTGCACGGCAGGCACCCACCGGCGAGGAAGAGCCAGTGCTTCCAGTGGAAAATGCTCAAATTAGGAGCAATCAGCATTATTCCCCGGCTGCGGTGCCAAAGATCCTTGTCTGCGGTGCTGCATTTAAAACAGACGGGCTGACTCCTGGCTCCAAGCGCAGCCTGCTGCTCTGCTGCCAGGTGACACCTACGGTCATCTCACTCTCAGTGCTGTCCAAATTCCTTAGGATCCACTTGACACTTCAATACTGAATTCCTGGAGGTTGCTTGCAAAGGCACCGCTGGATTGTTCAGTGTGTCACCTGCATCTTCGCCTGGTTCTCTTGGTGATTATCAGCTGAAAGGGAAAGTAACCAGATGGGAAGGACCTGGCTGGCCAGCTTTTTCCTCTGTGCCATCCAGAGAGATGTTCTAGTAAGAAGAGCAAAGCTGCAGCAGTTGGTTTGTTTCAGACATGCACTGTTGAACTGATAAGAGCCAACTCTTTAGACCACCTCCAACTGCTTCTCTGCGCGCTTGGGCTCACAAACACCAACCCCTTTCAGCCCTGGGGCTGACAAGAAGAATTCTGCATCTCCACTCGCTATCAGTGAATGCTCCGGCTTCAGAAACACACCCCTGTTTGAGATCTGTGCAGCAGGAATGTGCCCTGATCTCCAGGGCTCTACCTTCATCTCTCCAAATCAAGAGGCCGATAATTCGGTTCCTCAGGTAGCTGATACCCCTCTTTCTTCTTATTCCGAGTATCTGTTACCTGAGCGGGCTGGGATCTATGCTAACATCTGAAGGAGGATCTGAGACGCTTTATAGTAACTGTAGAATTTCGAGATGATAACATCTGCCCATACGGAAACTGTGTGCCTCATGCTGAAGTTTGTTCTTAGCAGCAGCTTTGAATTGCAAAGGCTCCGGGGGGGCGGGGGCTGTTTTTCCTTTCACACTGGTCTGCAGGAGCCGATGAAGAGAGAAGGTACTTCTGTAGCTTCGTGGGACACTGTGCAAAAGACCCCAAATGTGAGCACGTACAGTTGAAGCCATTTGGGTTATGTCACCTGGAAAAACTGCAAAAAGGGTTTTTTTGCAGTTTTTGCAGTCTTATTCCGAGTATCTGTTACCTGAGCGGGCTGGGATCTATGCTAACATCTGAAGGAGGATCTGAGACGCTTTATAGTAACTGTAGAATTTCGAGACGATAACATCTGCCCATACGGAAACTGTGTGCCTCATGCTGAAGTTTGTTCTTAGCAGCAGCTTTGAATTGCAAAGGCTCCGGGGGGGTGGGGGCTGTTTTTCCTTTCACACTGGTCTGCAGGAGCCGATGAAGAGAGAAGGTACTTCCGTAGCTTCACGGGACACTGTGCTAAAGACCCCAAATGTGAGCACGTACAGTTGAAGCCATTCGGGCTACGTCACCTGGAAAAACTGCAAAAAGGGAGAGTAGCTCTTTCTTCCTGCTTAGAGCTGGGTAGAAATTGGTTTAGAATGATACCAATGGTCCTTTTGTTTGGGGGAAAAAATGAAATTAGCACAATTAATTCCTGCCTGTGGGGTTACAGAGGTAGGGCCTCTCTCAGGTTGGAAATCAGAAAGGACTGGGTGGTTTTTTTTCTGTGGAAGGAGCCTAGACTGTGCTGGTTACTCTCAGGCTGGGCAGCCCCCACGCAGCTGAAGGTGAAAGTGGGTTAGTTAGCATCTTCTCTTTCAGCAATTTCAAAGTGTACGGCTTCAACCATACACTTGAACCCCCCAACTCTCCCAGCCCCCCCTCCCAGCAGAGGGGCTCCAGCCCTCCCAGCATCTCTGGGGCCTCCTCTGGCCCCGCTCCAACAGCTCCATGTCCTTCTGCTGTTGGTGGCCCCAGAGCTGGAGGCAGCACTGGGGGGGTCTCCCCGGAGTGGAGCGGAGGGGCAGAATGTCCCCCCTCACCCTGCTGGCCACGGGGCTGGGGATGCAGCCCAGGAGAAAGGTTGGGAGATGTGGGAGCAGGTGGGCAAGGGGGGAAACATGCTCCACAGCAAGCCCAGGCCAGGCCAGCACCATCCTGCTCCTCCAGGCGGGATGGGAGCAGAGCTGTGTCCAGTTTTGGGCCCCCTACCATAAAAAAGACATTGAGGTGCTGGAGCGGGTCCAGAGAAGGGCGACAAAGCTGGTGAGGGGTCTGGAGAATAAGTCTTGTGAGGAGAGGCTGAGGGAACTGGGGGTGTTCAGCCTGGAGAAGAGGAGGCTGAGGGGAGCCCTTATTGCTCTCTCCAACTCCCTGAAAGGAGGCTGTAGAGAGGTGGGGGTCGGTCTCTTCTCCCAAGTCACAGGTGACAGGACAAGAGGAAATGGCCTCAAGTTGCGCCAGGGGAGGTTCAGGCTGGATATTAGGAAAAATTTTTTCACTGAAAGGGTTCTCAGCCATTGGAATGGGCTGCCCAGGGAGGCGGTTGAGGCCCCATCCCTGGAGGTGTTCAAAAGACGGGTTGATGTAGTGCTGGGAGGTCTGGTTTAGTGATGATGCTCCTTGTTTGTTGTGCGGGTGTCTATTTTTGTCAGTTAGGTTGGACAAGATGATCTTTAAGGTCCCTTCCAACCTAGAAGATTCTGTGATTCTGTGATAGAGCCATCCCCAGTAGCCATGCAGGCAGCCTCCGAGCCAGCAGGCTGTCACAGCCCTGCTCAACTGGCCCTGCTCTCAGCATCAATGAAAAGCCATCAACATCCTGCCTGCTCTCAGCATCAATGAAAAGCCATCAAGCCAGGGTTCCTGGAGACTAACAACAAAGCATTGCATTTTCCAGCTCTCTCTGATAGTTCACAATGATGGATGGGTATGAAAGAGAGTACAAAGAAGATGGGGAGAGCTTTTTTCTATATATTGCTATATCTCTGATCATTTTTCATAGCAAGAGGCACTAGATTCTGTAATACTCGCCACAGTGGAAATGATGGAATTATATTACTATTTACGGAATATAAAATTAGATTTGAGGAGCAGAAATAAATGCGGAGTAGGAAATAACTGGGATGGCAGGAAGATGAACTTGCTGACCTAAGAGGTCCTTCCTCTCTTTAACTCTGGTGAGTCCATAGATATGGTTTCATTTGTTGTTAATAAGAAATAATAATAATAATGATGCAGTGAAATATAATACAACTTGAGAATTGAGAAGCTGTATAGTTGAATAGTCATACATATTTAATAGCCAAAGAAGGAAAATGAAACTCACCAGTTATGATCAGTCTTTGAAATGTTTCTGCTGCACCCACGAGATGTGGGTTTCTCAGCCATTAGGAATGTGTTTGATGGTGGTGTCTCAGAATCCCCTGTTCCTTTTAAATCCCCCCACATTGATGTTTGCTGCCCAGATGGTGGACAGAGTGGAGGCAAGGCTCTTAGCTGTGGCCTTCACTACAGCAACGCTGTGCCTGGGGGAAAACTGTGTCTCTGGCTCCTGGGGAATGGGTCAGGACCCGAGGGAGGGGGTGATTTTGACCCACTCACCCCACACATGGTGGAAGTGTCTCTCAAACCCCTTGTCTGTTGGGCTCTGCTGGATCCCCATCCCGTCTGCACGTTGCAGTTCCCCAGGAGGAAGGGTTATTTGGCAAGAAGGGTGGAGAGGTGGAGGAACCAGCACAACTACATCTTCCTGAGATAGTGACGAAACTGACAAGATTCAGGTTCAGAAAACTGCAGGTTCAGGAAACGCTGTGATTGCGGCTCAGACCCCCCACTGACAGGAGTGAAACGACAGGGATGCTGCTTCTGGCTGCTGGGGGTCATAGAATCCTAGGACCATATGGGGTTGGAAGGGACCTCTGGAGATCATCCACTCCAACCCCCCCACTGGAGTGGGTCTACCTAGAGCAGGTCCCACAGGATCCTGTCCAGGTGGGTTTGAATGTCTCCAGAGAAGGAGACTCCACCACCTCTCTGGGCAGCCTCTGCCAGGGCTCTGCCGCCCTCACAGCAAAGAAGTTCCTCCTCATGTTTAGGTGGAACTTCTTGTCCACGCCACACAAGCTGGTGCTGGGCCTGTAACTTCTACACGTCCTCAGGGCATGCCACCATCAGTGGGGCCTGTGGCTTAGACACTAGCTATAGGAAAAGCACCTTGATCTGTTGGTTCTAATTCAACACAAAAGTCCTTTTTCTCTGCTCTCCTCTGGGTGCATCACTGAAATAGGCTACTTTTTGTGGCTGATTCTCGCTGGAAAACTGTCCCACATGTGACTGGGGGAGGTTCACAGCCGTGTAGTGTCCATCACCTTAGATTTCACTTATGAAATACCACCTTGCCACACGGCACACCGCCATGTAAAAATACCAATAATGGTTTATAAATTCATGGGGACGACAGGCTTTGTTCTTTTGGGTTAATTCTCCCTTTCAGTTGTCGGCCTTGGGCACGCGGGCTGGTTTCTGACGAGTCTCGTTTGCCCCCTTGTGGCACGAGCCCAGAAGACAGACCCGGCAGTCACCGCTTTGCCTGGTTCCTCCTCAAGGGCCAGCGCTTCCACCACTTGGGCTATGAAGAACTTTGGGCTCCTTTCCCCCTTTTTTAGGGGCAGGTTATCCACCTGCGCCCGCAGAACCGAGCCTGTCTGTTTTATGGCACAGGAACACCCCAGAACAGGCACGTTTATTCCAGAAGCACGAGTGAAGGAAGCCCAAAGGCTTCTTTGTTCATTGTTTTTTAATATACTCTATACAGCTGCAATAATCTTCCAGGATGGGTGTTCAAGCCCGTGATGTTCAATTACGTAGTTATCTCAAGATACAGAAACAGAATTGAATTTTTAAAATTGACAGTAAATAACTATTTACTGAACATCAACTGAATTTAAGAATTGCAAAGCAGTTGCTAGGCTCCATCACTGAAAGAATTCAGGTTTTCTGTTTCTTAATTAACTTTTAGGATTTTGAAATGCCAGTCTTTTATCACCCCTTTTTTATTTTTTTGGTTGGGTTTTTATTTGGGGTTTGTTGTTTTTTTTTTTGCTTTTGCACAGTTTTTGTAAAATCCTGCCTATGTGAAGCAGAAAGAAGTGCGTGCTGTGGGCCTGTTCCAAAGCCTGCATCCCTGAGGTGATGGCTAACCCAGGAGTAGCCCAGTCACACCCCATGGATACACCGGGATGCTCTGGGGCCTGTGTTTGGCTTCTGAACATTATGGAAAAAAATGCCTTGATAACCCAAAAACCCGTTATAGAGCTGCAAAGCAGAGTGCACGCTGATTAAGACACCTCTGTGGCTGTTAATAAAAATTAGCCTTCTGTCTCTTCCCTTGTAAAATCAGCCAGTTGTGGCGAATTCCGTTGTCTTCAATTATGCTGTTAATCCTCTGGCTCAGCTTTTCTAACAGGGTTTCGTATTTGTACTTTATCAAGAGCATGAAGTAAAAGAAGTGTGACTACCAAAAGAGAGAGAATAATAACACAACCAACAAAATGGATACTTTCTTGGATGTCAGCTACATCCTTTGCTCTTTGTAACCTGAAGAAAGAACTGGATTGCGGGAGATGTCTGCGCTGCCAGACTGTTAGGAATAAAGCATCATGGCATCGTCTGACAGCTGAAAGGAAAAATAAATCTGCATCCCAGCTCCAGAGGCCTTCAGGTGACGCACGATGCGGAAAGGCACTGGTCTGTGGAAGCGGCTGAGAGGGGAAGGAGGAGAGTGTGTCCTCTGTTGGGAGCTGAGCCCTGAGCTGTCACCGGGATGGAGTGAACCTCTTCCAGTTCTGCTGTCTGTAATCAGCATCCTTCTTCAAGTGCTACACCAGTGATGGACCATCTCTGGACTACCAGAACGGGCAGTACCAGCAACTAAGTACTCCAGGGAAAGGCTGATATTATTTGGAAGAACACAAACAGCATACAGAAAACAGCAGAGGATCACTATATATTATTAACCTGACTCTACAACCATCATGTCTGTCCTAACTATAAATAGTATGATTTTCCTAAATTCCACTAGAATGCTACTAATCTATTTTATCACAGAGTGAGAGCCACGTCTTGGTGTTTATTATCATTTGTTGTCTAATAGCTGCTAGATACATTCCATAATAAACAGGGAGGGAATATATTGGCACGAAATACCCGGATTTGGAATAGGATACCAATTTACTGCCTCTGCTTGTTCAATTGCAATAGATAGCAAAAAGTAAAAATCTCAGTAGTTTGGCACTAGCGAGGATCTGTAAGCTCTAGGAAGGGCCAACATGCCTGGTCCCTCAGCTCCTCTCCCAGCTCCCACAGGGTTCTCCCATGGAAACCACAGGGAAACCAGCTCCCTGTCCTGGGCTTTCCAAATTCCTCATTCCCATCATTTAAAACCTGCCATTTAATAGCCAGCCTTTCATCTTAAGAAGAGCTACTCAGCGGACATCGCATATTGGCATGAGTGTCACAGGAACTTGCACAAGTCTCACATAAAAACCATACAGCTTTCATCAATTTTGGATATTTGCTGTTATCTGATGCTCGCTATTCTGCAGTAAAAGTCACCAGTGCTAATTAAACAATAATTCCCCTAGATTTCAATATGGAACAAAGATGAAGACTTCTCTTTGGCCTGCAAAGTTTGATCTCAAGTCAGCAAAATCAATTAAAAACAAATACTTAGGCCTGAATGTTAATTAACAATAAAAATTGATGAAAAATTAATTAGGTGCATAAATTTACATTTTTTTACAAAATGGCAAACAACTTCAAACGAGCACCAGAAAAAGACGGCCATTATTTCTGTTTGTGTAGGGAAACCTTCCCTCTAACAAGGACAGAAGCACAAACGTGTCTCCCTGGAGCCCGTGGGACTGAGCCAGGTTTGAGCGCAGCGTGTACCTCAGTGCCTTTCAGATCAGACACCCAGCACAAACAGGGCAAGTGGGTGTATATCGATAAACTAAACATGCTCTGTGCTCCTTACAATAGTGCTACCCACTCTCTCTGACCGAACAAGTCAAAGACACTGTGCATTTGTACTTAACAATGTTATAGAGGGACCGTTCCCTTGCACCAGCTCTATTGCCAATACCCTCCATTTCAAAAGTAGCTGCCACATTTTGTCAAGGGAGTATGCGGTTCTGTCACACCTGCTAAGAGTCATCTCCAAAATGCTTTTCCCCCCACAGAATTATGAAATTCCATGTTGCAAAGAGGAAGTTTAAGGAAACGCTTCGTCCGTATGATGTCAAAGATGTCATTGAGCAGTACTCGGCAGGCCATCTGGACATGCTGTGCAGGATTAAGAGTCTCCAGTCTCGGTAAGGAAGGAATAATTTCTGCTCTGCGTAAGTGGTTTATGTTTCGACATTCACTGCATAATGAATTTTGGTAACGCTGTTCTATTTGGGTGCAAGTTGCCATCCATGCTTCAGCCCAGCCTCTCTGTGAAGACAGCTGAGCCAGAAATGACATTGTGGGTAAAACCAAACACAAACCCATGTACCTAGATTGTCCCCCAGAAAATGGAAGTCTGAACAGCAGAAAAGGTAATCTGATCTGAACGGGCCATTCATAAACAAGGGGTTTAGTCACGAGGTTGCCAAAATGATGAGGTCGGCACTGAGAGCTGCCTTTCTCCCATCCCACACTTCCTCTTCTCACGTAGAACAAATTGGGAATTACTGGTAATGTCATATTTATGTAGTTTTTATGTTCTAGGGTCTAGATGTAATGTACAGATTAGCAAGCGCTGCCAAATCACCACCGTTTTCAGGAATCACAGCAGCTTTTGATTTCTCTTACAGCGTTGACCAAATCCTTGGGAAAGGACAGATCACAGCGGATAAGAGAAGCAGAGAGAAGAATCCCGCGGAGCATGAGACGGGCGACGACCTCAGCATGCTGGGCCGTGTGGTCAAGGTGGAGAAACAGGTAGAGTGGTAGCTGTGTCGCTTTGTCTTGCTCTGTGGCTCGTGCCTTTTGGGTATTTTATTGCCAGTTTCAAAGGCTGGGCAGGTAAATTATTTTTTCTTCCCTAATATCTGCATCATTTCAGGGGAGGTTCAGGCTGGATATTAGGAAAAAATTTTTTCACTGAAAGGGTTTATCAGGCATTGGAATGGGCTGCCCAGGGAGGTGGTTGAGGCCCCATCCCTGGAGGTGTTCAAATGACGGGTTGATGTAGTGCTGGGAGATATGGTTTAGTGATGATGCTCCTTGTTTGTTGTGTGGGTGTCTATTTTTGTCAGTCAGGTTGACGGTTGGACAAGATGATCTTTGAGGTCCCTTCCAACCTAGAAGATTCTGTGATTCTGTGATTCATTTACATGTTGAAATAAAATTGCTATTAATCATGTTACCTTAACTGGCTTCCATGTACAGAAAAGGAAGGAAGGAAGGAAAAATCGCAGGCAACTAATTTTTTTTCCATTTTATCACCTGCTTATGAAATACCTGCTTGGCTTTTGAGATGGTTTCTCAAGGGCCAGTAGCATGTACCAAGCTCCTCCCATTTCTCCCTTCATCCATCGCATTTTCCCTTCGCTTGGATTCCCAATATTTTAAATCGGTATTTGGCACTATCGTTAACCTTTTCCTCTCCTCCTGCAGGTACAATCCATCGAGTCCAAACTGGACTGTCTGTTGGACATCTACCAACAAGTGCTGCGAAAGGGATCTGGCTCCGCGCTCACCTTGGCTTCCTTCCCCATGCCGGCCTTCGAGTGCGAGCAGACCTCTGACTACCAGAGCCCCTCCGACAGCAGGGACCTCTCCGCTTCCGCACACATCAGCGGGTGCGTTTCCAGATCAGCCAGTGCCAACCTGCCCCGTGGCCTACAGCTCATCCTGACACCAAATGAGTTCAGCACTCAGGCTTACTATGCTCTCAGCCCAGCTATGCATAGTCAGGCCACTCAAGTGCCAAACGACGGACCTGCCGGGGTTAGTAACTCAGCAAACCAAATAAACCAGGCGACGAAGCCGGCAACTCCGACGACACTGCAAATACCGCCTTTCTCATCCATGAAGCACCTCAACAGGCCGGAGCCCGTCCACATTATTCCTGTAACCACGCAGGAAAACGTTTCCGATGTCACCGCTTGCCTTGTCGCCTCCAGGGATAACGGACAAGTGGCGCAGCCCAGCACGACCAAGGATCTCACGTGGAGGAAAAGCCTGGATGTAGAAGGAGAACCTTTGCTCTCCGTTAAACCCGTGGTGCAGATGGATTTGGGAAAATCTTTGTCTGTGCAGAACCTCATCCAGTCGACGGAAGAACTGAATGTGCAGGTGGCTGGCAGCGACTCCAGCGGTTCCAGAGGGAGCCAAGACGTGTACTCCAAGTGGAGGGAGTCAAAATTATTTATAACTGATGAAGAGTTGGAGGCGGAGGCAGGAGCAGAGACTCCCGAAGCCATCTCGCGCCCGTTGGTGGACACGGCTCTCTCTGCCGACTCTCTGAGGACTGGAATATCAAGATCATCTCAAAGCCTTTGCAAGCCAGGGGACGGTACAGAAGCGCTCAATCTGCTCCACGTCAAACTGAAATAACAGCTCGTGGGCTTTTCTTCGTTGGCTGGGTCATTCCTCTAGTCATACATATCACAGCATGAACTGGTTTGAGAGCCTTTTTAATAAGATAAAATCACAAAAAAATCAGGATGAATCCGAGAAGCAGTCGAATGAGCCCATATCTCCCAGTTGCATGAAAATGCATGTTTCAGTGAAGGCTGACACTCAAATTTACACCCACAGTACGGCGGCCTTTCCTGTAGTGCGGCGGGGTCCGGCGGCGCGGTGCCCCCAGAGCTCACGCGGCAGGACCTTCCGAAACGCAACAATTCCAGCATTCAGACCTAGTGCCGTTTCCACAGAGCAGAAGTCAAAATCGCAAGGTTTAAAGCACTTTGCTTCTGAACTAGTTAAATATAGATATATATATAATGTCCTGATTTAGACGATAGTTTATGTTTACAACAACAAAAAAAAAAAAAAAATGATCTACAGCTGCTAGCAAGGTACCAAGGAAACCAGTACCGGGGGGTGAGAAATGGCTGCCAGTTGCAAGATACACACATTGGCTCATCAGCAATCAGTTATTTTTAACTCTGAAAACCCAGATCGTTACTATCCATCCGATTTTTGGTGATCGAGTGGTGCGGCAGCAGCACCTGACACACCACTGTCACGTTGCTCTTTATAACGAGAACATTATTTTGCTGCGAAATGTTTGTATTTTAAGGGTTGGGGCTGGCCTCAGCAACGGGTAACCCGGGGGACTGCACTGAAAATCCAGGGAATCTCTGCTTCTCCCAGCCCCACGGAGGAGCTGCCCTGGGAATGTGGGACATTCCGGCAGCAGCAGGAGAGGGAAGGAAGCGGGCGCTGCCTTTACTGGAGAAGCAGCATTTCCTTCTGCGGAAATTTTGGCAATTTTCCTCACTGTCCCAGCCGGGACAGCGCTTCCTAAGGCTGGGAAAGGAGGGGAAAGGAGGAGCTGAAACACAGAGTAAAACTACAGGGGATAGCACAGGGACGAGAGAAAGGCAACACAGTCAACGAAGGGGAAAAAAGATATGGATTAAGATGGGCAGGAAGGGAAATGATCCCAGAAAATAGAGGAAGGAAGTTAAAGAGGCAAAAAGATTTATTTTTTTTACATCCAGCCTGTCGGTCACAGATACTGAGTGCTATTTCCAAGAAAACCAGCCATGTAGGCAGTCAGAAATGGAAACAGAAGTAGGGAAAACCACCTTAACTGAAAAAGACCTGAAGGCAAAAAGTTTTTTGTTTGTTTGTTGGGTTTTTTTTTAATATAAAGGGGAGGAAGAGAGAGGGGAAGAGGTCCCACACTTTAGCTCAGCACTGTGTCCCAACAGCAGTCATTTCTTGTGAGCTTCCCCAGAAAGGACCTCCAGGCTCCTTCCTCCAAACACCCCAGTTTTCCCATCCAAAGCTGAGCATTTCTGCCTGATAAATCCTCTTTTTTTTCCTGTCCTGACCCACACTTCCCCCCTGCCAAGGTGCAGGAGCAGTGTCAGTGCCTCTCTGCACGTCCCCAGCAAGGCTTGGCCATGGGAGAACCCTAGAGGAGCCTCAACGGGCTTTGGCTCTTCCCAGCTGGAGGAGGTCTCTGTTGGTGTCCTCCCCCCACATTCACACCCCACCTGCCCCACAGAGAGCCCGGCTGGTGCCCCACTTCCCTCTAGCAGCAGGACCACTGGCTGTGCGTGGGGGCACAGTGCCAGCTCGCTCAGGGCAGTGTCTCCTCAAGGCCCAGACCTGCTGGGAACTTGGTGTGTTCACCAGAAACGTCACTCCAGTCTTACACCACCACTCCACGCCATAAGTTGTGTTGTGAAGGACTCTGTTGTTATTTTGGCTTCCATATTTCCTTTACAGAAGTATTCCTGGGTGTCACACAGGAACCTTATTATGTGAAAGTACATGCAAACTGCAGAGTGTGTGTACTGTGTCGTTACACGGGGTCCACAGATGGTACATGGTGTTCCACGGATGGTACAGGGTGGTCCACAGATGGTAGAGCATGTTCCACAGATGGTGCACGATGTTCCACAGATGGTACAGGGTGTTCCATGGGTGGTACACGGTGTTCCACAGATGGTGCACAATGCTCCACGGATGGTACAGGGTGTCCCATGGGTGGTACAGGGTGTTCCACAGATGGTGCACAATGCTCCACCGATGGTACAGGGTGTTCCATGGCCTACAACAAAGCAAACGTCAGCTGCTCAATCCCCAAAGATACCTTGAAGCACAATTTCCCCACCACTGATTGGCCAGACAATTTACCACACCCAGCCTCTCCTGGTTTCGTTTCTGTGCAGTCTGTCTGTGCTACAGCCTGATGACAACAGCAATTCTGTGAGGAATAATAGGGGGTTTTTCCACATCTCAGTTCACTTAACTATTACCTTATCTAGGCAGATGTTACTGGGTGGGTAAGATTTTACTCACCCAGTATCCAAAATTTTCAAAACTTACAAGTTTGGGGTGTTTTTTAGGCTTTTCTTTCTGTTTCCTAATGGTTTACGGTGCCTTTCCTGCCTTTCATACGAAGCCTCCCGAAGGCCTAACCCGGGGCTCGGTTAAGGAGCAAGAGACGGGGCACCTGGCAACTCAGTGTTGGGGACGCGGGTCCCTTCCCCTCCTTGAGGAGAGCAGAAGCCCAGGGGGTCAGGAACCGGGACCCCACTCTCGGGTGGGAGCAGGGAGCCTTGGCCCCGCCGGTACCGACCCCCCGCAGAAAGGGGGCCCCGGGGTTTGCTGAAAATTTATCTCACGGAAACTTGGTATTTTTGCCTTAAACGACATGCTTGAGTCCTTCTAATTTTAAGTTAATTTATTTAATACAATTTTATGCACAAAAGAATGAGTTCTATAAATTATGTATGAAAATGTTAATGTCTTTACAAAGTACTAATAAATCCAGAAGATCCTATCTTTTCAAATTATGGTTTAAAATCCTAATTTTTTTTTTTCTTTTATGCTCACCATTATTATTTTTGTAGCTGTAAGTCTTATCATATAGGAATTTTTTAACATACTGTTGCTAGAAAATAGAAAAAAGTAGTGAATATATGAAATTCTGGAGAGGAAGAATTGTTTGTTTGGATTTTTATAAGCTTTGCTCTTATTTCCTCATGAGGAGTTTCCTGTTTCTACGCTCTCTCTTTAAAGACAGTGTCAGGACCGACTGTCATTCATCGGTGTCACAGAAGAAGGACCTTTTCCAGAGCTGCTGGTTGCCGTCCAGCTCGTGACAGCTCATAGGAATGACTAGGGACAAAGGGCGCTTTTTTTTTTTCTTTTTCTGCTCTACAAGCCACTTGGGGATTGTTGAAGAGAGAATTTGAACTTAAGTAAGAGCTTCAGGAATTAAGCCTTATCCGAATAACTGTTTTCTGATCAGCGTGTTTCTTGTACCTGATTGAAGAGAGAACTGAAAAGAATAGTTTTGATGATTATTATTTGTTTAAAAATTTGTATTTGCTCCTGGCTTATATGATCTATACTTTTTATTTAAATATGAATATAGTGTTTTAGCCTAGGGTTGAAGATTGCAAAGATCATACACTTTTATTCACAGTGCCCACGGTTGTTCTGTATGTTTTTGAGATAAACCTCCTTAGAGTGACTGCTCTCATGACAGCGTGGTGAGGAGTAATTCACCTGCTCTTCCGTGGTAAGTCCAACCATACTGAGCTGCTGATGCATAGCAGAACATCTGATGTACAGTAGTATTTCTGGATTGGGACCTGCAATCCTCACTCAAGCAAAAATTCTATGGAATTCAAGAATTTTTCTTGAATCGGGAGCTCGGATTCAAATCCTTATTTTGTTGGGCATCTGTTTAAAGTGAAAATGGTAATATTCCAGTTATTTCCTGAGGAAACTAATATTTAGCTGATTTACCCATGTCACATTGACTATATAAAAAAATAACGCACAAAATATTGATGTAAAAAGGGAAGAAAAGAAGGGACATTTTTTAAAAAGCACAGAGAAAAGGAGAATAATCAGAAAAAGAGGAGTAAGCGGGAAAAGAAAATATAACAGCGAGGAATGAAAAAAGGGGTTTAAAGACCCGAGGCTAAATTCATCCTTGGATGGCTTCACTGACTTCACTGGCTTCACTGCCCAACGGGGTGAAGTTCAGCCTCCACTGGGATAATCAGGCTCAGTTCTGCTGAGTTCTGAAAGGAACTGAACCCACCTACACCAGGAATGAACTTGCCTCTCTGGGCCAACTTTTATCCTGACTCATATGTCATGCAATCCTTTTGGATTCATTAGGTTTGAATGAAATACAGGTCAGAAAAGAATTTGCCCCAGATATTTCTGCTTCACATTTTTTTTTTTCCAAGTGTGTTAATCGACTTAATTCAAATGGATTACAACATCACACGAAGTGCTGTCACTGTCTAAAAAGGTTAATTGGTTTTTGAAATAAGAATTGTCCCCTGCAGCGTCAGTGGAAGCACGTGATATTTTCCTGTTCATTCATCTGGATGCAAATGTGACCATTAATTCAGCGGTGGCCACGCACTGGACAATTCCAGACATACCCAATATCCTCTGCTATTGGAAGCATTTTTTTACTTCTTTGCAAGATAATAAAAGCCTGCTTGATAACAGGCTTAGAAAGCACGAAGGCTGCTCCCACTGACACTGCAACGACATCAGCCAGTACATTACAATGTTAATTGTAACTTCTTGACAAAGTTGAATCCATATTGTTGTTAATAAAAACGATTTGAAAAGTACCATGCTTACTGGGTTGTTGTTTTTTCCCCTGCATAAACAATTGTATGGTGAAAGCACATATTAGGAAAAAAAAAAAAAAGAAAAATTTAAACTTGCTCATTGTTTTCCTTTTGAAGTTTTGTAAATTTTTTTATTAAATGGACCAGAACACCGCAAAGGAAGTTTACTGGAGTAAGACGTGCACCAACTAGTCTGCTATGTTCAGTTTCTGGCAACTGTTCACAGCAGACTTTACTTAAACTTCAGATGTTTCAGCACCTCTATGAAAATTAGTTTGGCAGATATTATTACCTTCCCTGTTAGATAAACGGGAATTGATTTGGGATCAGCAATCAGGGGCCTGTGCGAGGAGCAGGACTCCTAAGGGAGGGCTCCTCTGCTGCCTCAGTTTAACTCGAGGCCAAGGTGAAGTTTCCTCTGTGGTGGATGCTCTGGAATGCAACTGCACCAGACGGACAGCCCACTCTCCTCACCAGGCTCTCCCTGCACTCCTGCCCAGCAGGAGCATCAGGATTTCACTGTAAAGCAGCAAATACAGAGAGCCTGTTCTTGTGGTGAAGTCTCTGCCTCCTTGGAGGCTTCAAACTCAGGGCAGAGTATTTCCATGTGTATTTCAGAGTATTTCCAGGTGACCCCCTACCTCTCTGATGAACGCAGCCTTAGATACTGAAATGGAAAGGTGCAGTCTCCAGGATGGCAGATTTTCCATGTCAGCCATTTGTCCCCACAGGCTATGCTGCCAAGCCCTGCCTATAAAATAAACACAGAAGGGGAAAAAAGGCAAACAGGTATGCGGGCTCGTCTTGTGTTACAGCAGGATGTCTCGCTCGGTGTGTACGTGGAGACAGGGAAGGGTCAGGAGAGCGGAGCGGGGCCTCTCCTGCTGTCACCCCACAGGCCTCAACGGCCAGGCACCGGCAGTGGTGGGCCTCCATAAATACATCTGTAAGTGTTATAAACACGTCTATAAATGTTCACCATTCAGCTCTGTATAATAGGAGTACAGGACCATGCTTAAAAAGGAAATTTAAACCTTCATTTGGCAAATTTGGGGGTGTGGGTGTGTGTGTGTGTGCTAGGTTTTTCTTAAGGGTTTGGGGGTTTTTCTTCTTGGTTTTTCTGTTTTTACTGCGATGGTGACTGGGCACTGGCAGAGTCTGCCCTAAGAGGCCATGGAGTCTCCACTCACAAGTGTCCTGGACACTCCTGGGCTCTGGGTGTCCCCGCCTGAGCAAGGGCTGTTGGACAAGAGGGCCTCCAGAGGTCTCTTCTGCCTCAGCCATTTTGTCCTTCCGTTTTCAGTACCGTGTAAGCTCCAGTAGATTCAAGCCTACTAAAATCTTCACTAAAGCATCACTCAAGCTTCATTTCGGATTAAATATTATGACGTCCCTACAAAAATCCTCTTGACTGCAATGTATCAGCGTGACATGAGGTTAGACACCAAGCACAACTACTCCGTGCCACCCTCACACCCCCAACGCCCCCGAGGCTGCCTGCCTCCCCCCCGCCCCGACTTCGGGGGCTTCCTACACACTCAGGACCGAGTTCTGGCCTCTCCCACCCTAAAACACCGCAGCCCCCTCCTCAGCAGAGCCCACCCCCGGCTACCCCGAGGCCGGCGGGGGAGAAGGGAGCAGGGAGTGAGGGGAAGGCAGGACCCGGGCCATTGAGGACCCTCAGCCCGGGGCGCGAGCGCGGCCTCGAGCTTGGAGGGGACGGCCTCGCCCCGCCAGCCAATCACTGCTTAGAGAGCCGCCCGCCCTGGCCAATCAGCGCGCCCCTAGCGTGAGGAGCGCTAAGGCCCGCCGCATGGGTGGCGGAGCCGGGCGGAGGAGCCGCCATGTCGGACTGGGAGAGCAGCAGCGATGAGGATGCGGGCGCGCCGGGCCGGCCGCCATCTTCTGCCGCCGCCGGGCGTCTGTGGCAGCCGCCGCCTTCCCCTCCGCAGAGCCGCGCCTCCGGGCGAAGCAGCGCTGAGTGTCGGCGGGAGTCGGCGGCCGGGCTCGGAACGGGGGAGAGGGAGCGTCGAGGCGCTGAAGGCTCCCGCGGCCCGAGGGAGGCGGCGCGGTCCTGGCCGCCCCGAGCCGCCGCCGACGGCCAGTTTCGGGACGCCTTGGAGCCGCTCTGCTTCCACCTCGATAACGCCCTGGTCGGCGGTCTCATAGGTACTAAGGTCGCGACCCCCCCACCGGGGTGCTTGGCTCGCTGAGGTGAGCGGGTGGGGGGAGAGGAGGAGGAGAGGAGGCGGCCACGGAGCGATTTGTTGGTGCGGGCCCTGCCCTTCCCTCTGTGCCCCAGGGGAGGGCCCCAGCCCCTTGTGAGCCCCTAACGTCCCGAGTATGGCAGGATGCTTTTGCAGGGTACTGGCTGAAGAGTGGAGCTCTCCTCCCTCGCCGGGGTAGCTGAGCTTTGCCTCTGAAAAACAGTTGGGTTGATGTCCGCCTGTCACGGCCAGCAGTGAGGGGCTGAGGCCTCTTTCTAGTCACCTGGAGAGAGGGCAGCGCTCTCTTGAGCTGGTTTTGCTGCTCCATCTCCTCCACTGAGGTACCTTCCACACGCACGCACCCCCCCTTGCATTTGGTTAATCGCTAAAAAAGTTACCTGTGTTTTCCAACAGCTAGGTGTTACAAGTTCTTTTCTTTATGGATGCATGCACTCGCATAAAGGTATTAGGATTTGGTCACAACCAAAATACTTAGTTACTGTATGTCGTGTTTGACAGTTTGGCCTCAATCTCTGTAATACCAGCTGTGTGTCTTTATAACAGGTCGGGGTGGAGCTAAAATAAGAGAACTTGAGGATTCTTCAGGTTCCAGAATAAAGGTACCATGTGCTGTGCATCATCCAGGCCTGGGCACTGTTGGGAATGTACTTGGTCTTGCTTCCAGAGTTACTGCAGCAAGTTGAATGGTGTTGCAATAGCTCTAATACTTCTACTCTTTCACAAGAATTGGTAAAATGGAAGGGGAATTTAGGGCAACGTGACTGGTACGTGAAAGTAGGAAAAGCTTACTGGTATTTTTTTTCCGTGAGTATGCATTTATTTCCCTTTCTTTAGGAAGGGAATTAAAGGGTTGCTTCCCGGGAAGAGAAGTTAAAATTCAGAAAAAATAAATCAATGTTTTCAGTATATATTCTTACATAATGTTTGCCTTTGCAGTATTAAAGAACCTCAGTACTATTTTTTGAACATAGGTTATAAAGGGAACTTGTGAAGCTGAAGTAAAGATCTTTGGCAGCATTGCTGTGCAAAACAAAGCCAAGAAGTTGATAAACGATGCTATTACAAGATCTGGACAAAACTACGTTAGAGGTGGGACTGATAAAGATAAGAAATGTGGGGTTTAGAAGACAAAAAAAAAAAGTACTCTGGATTGTATTTTCCTATGTTTGGTTCTTTGCTGGTGTGTGTTTATATTATTAGTATTTTACCAAGGTGAATTAACTTTCACCTTGTTCTTGGGAAGTGGTAAAGCTTCATTAAAACAAATATCTAGATATCCTTTTTTCTTATCTGTGACAGTCAAACTGCCAGACTTATGTGAAAATCTGTTTCTGTGTGTTTTGAACAATTTTAATGAATTCAGAATGTTGTACTACTTGGTTTCTTGCGTTATCAGTCTGATTCCCCAAAAGTACAAGGTTTAATTTATCTGTGCGGTATTACAGTTCATTAAGCTTTTATAAATGCAGTCTGTAGAGCAAACCTGTACTGATTATAGCGTGGGCGATGCGGATTTCTTACTACTTTCATGGGAAGTAGGCATTTGAGATGTGATGTTGCACATCATGCCTCATTTTAATTGGCTTTATCGTGTTGACTTTGTGTGTTACATGGATATACAGGTAACAATGGTATGTTGAGATGCCACTTACCAAATACTTGGTATTTGTCTTGTATGTGCTTCCAATGGCTTTTTGCTCGGGCAAACAACGTCCATAGTTGTTGCTCTGAGGCACTGATGAGGAAGAAGCATGTCCCAGCATTAGAATAAGTAATGAAGTAGTTGTTTTGATTTTTAGAAGTGCCCCAGAAGGTGGACAAGTATGTTTCAAGAGGCTAGAAATAGTAAACACTTCCTTAGTGTGTGGGACTGTGTTTTTGCCGTGTTTCTTGCTGTTCCCCTAATACAGAATTGTGTTGCCATTTACATCTTCAGTATAAAACTTCTCTATCTTAAGAAGTGTTACCCACATAAAAAACCAGGAGTGTAATGTAACTACATTGAGACTTTATTGTGGTGATGTTGGAAGCTTTAGAAGTAAACCTCGGTCTGGTAGCTGTTAAGAATAAAGCGTTCTGCCTGCCAAACATCTACTTGGTTCACAAGTTTTTAAAAAGTCTGTTGCACAACAAGCCTTATTTATAGCTGGTGGGGCAGCATTTCAGAACTTTAAGTAGCTAAAGATATTGAAATACTTCCTTTTTTTGTCAGAATCAGATTTTACAGGTTTTACCAATGTTTCAGGCAGAGACGTAGGAAAGAATTTTCTGTGTAAATGCTTCATGTCTATTCAAAAATCACATAGAAGCCTTACAATAGAAAAAGAAAATAAGGTGTTTGTTTTGAAGTGGGAGGTTCTTTCCCACCCTGCAATAGATTCCATCAAACAGCAGCATTTTGGTGCTAACCCCACAGGAAAAACCTTGGACAGTATCAAGCCTGAAAATAACCCAACGAAGTCAGTGATTAACTGGGCCTCTATTCGAGAAAACAAAGCTAAATATGAAGCCATGAAATGGGCAGGTTAGTTTTAAATTTTTAATTGTGTGGTACTTGTCTTCGTATGATAAATCTGGTGAATGCTTAAACGCTTTTGATTTTTGCTTTGAGATGGCTGAATCTTTTAGTGTCCAAATTAGTGAAGTGTTTGCAGTGAGGTAGCCGTGTTGGCATTTCCCAGCAGGGTCGTGGAGGACACTGTAGTTGCTGTGTGAAGACTTAAACTTACTGCTCAATTGGAATTTTGATTTCACCCTTTGAAAATGCTGTTGGTTTGTATGTAAGCACAGCAAAAAATCTGAGAATTGTTAAACGTTGCACTGTATATGGTAGTAGAAATTACTTTAGAACTTGAAATGTGGGGAAGCGGTTCTTTTGCAGATAATTAAGTGTTTGTCTCAGCCTTCATCCTTTCCATGAGCGACAGTCATCTGCTGCTGCTTCTGAGTAGTCCCCTGCTACAAGGCACAGTCTGGGTTTGGGGATTTCCATCTTGAGCTTTAGCAGACTTAACCCGGAATCTGTAGCGTTTCTTACTGACTCAAGTTTGCTTTTCTGATTGTTTAAGACTTGCCTCCAATTGAGAAAAACTTCTATAAAGAATCATCAAGGACTGCATCCATGTCACAAGAAGAAGTGGAGCTGTGGCGGTAAGAGCAGTTGCAGGGGATCCTCTGCTTGGCAAAAATAACACCTAAGGTATAAAGCTGAGGAGGTGGGAGATGAAGTACTGAGACAGAAGCATTCGTGGTAGGGGCTTGTAATAACTTAGTCTTAGGAATACTTTCTTAAGAATTAAACAATAATTGGCAGATGAGGTATTAGTTGCTTGCAAAACTAACTTCAGGGATTAACTGCTTCTCTAAAAGTGATCTGGTTGACTTTCAGAAGAGAAAAAACTCAAGATAATTCATTGACTTTGGGCTGTTTCTTTGCATTTAGTGAGACAGAATGTTCATGCTTTCTAGGTGCTTCCAAATGTTATTGTTCACATGTTGAACACCTCTTGGCTGCCCTTTTTTTTCCCCATATATTTTAGTCAAATACCATCTTCAGAACAAATTTCAGCTTCCATTACTGTTGTTTTCCTGTCTGTCTGTCTTACCTTCACAAGTCCATCCTGGTGAGTACATGCCTCAGTTAACTATCTCCATTCATTCCTTTGATTCTGTTCAGGCCCTGGTAGTGGTTTCAACCCTTTTCAGTAGTTCTAAGGAAATTTGTGAACATTCTTGAGGTGTCACCTTTTACTGCTTTTCTTTTTGCATGGTGTCTGTTTTCTCTCTTGTGTGCCTTCCGGAGAAACCCTGGCACCGAAAGCAAAGCAGGGAATTGGCACCTGTTTCCTTGAGGTACATGTTGTAGGTAGAGCTACTCAAGACCAACAGGGTCAGAACATGCATTGAGGAAAAGCTCTTGTGTAATAAAGGCAGGTTTTTCCTTTTTCATCTACTCTGTTTGCTTTAAGGAAAAAAGACAGTAATTGGAAAAAAAATTCTTGTAAACATGAAGAGAGGGTGAATTACCAGTTCTTTTCCTAGCCCTCACCCCTCTTGAACTAAAACTATTGCTCAGTGGAATCTTCAGGAGGAATACAGGACTGGAATGAATATTAAACTCCTCCTGCATATTAATACCTCTTAATTCAGGGGAGCCTTGGAACCTCAGTTTTTACTGTAGCTTTTTGTGTGCATTGTTGTGCTTTGGGGTGGGTTGGTGGTTTGTTTTGGGAGGTTTGTTGGAGGGTTTTTTGAGTTCGTCTTACTGACCATGTTGTTTTTTCTAAACTGTTCTGTTTGTATTCTCTAGGGCATCCAGGGACCTGCTCTGAAAATATGTTGGGAAAACTTTTGTCAGAATATAGGATTCTGGCATAGAAGTCCAGTCCATTCCTATGAGTTCTAGGGTGTCTTTAGGTTTAAAAACTTGTCACAGTTACTTCATTTGTAATAGAGTATAATTGAAGTCTGATGTGACAAGACTGCAGTTCATGTTAACTGCATCTGTAACTTCAAATGAGTCTTTCTTAAGAAAGAGTGGTAATTGATGTCTCCAGTGAAGTTTTCTTAGGAGTTAGAAGAATATTTGTAAGTTTCATTCAAGAGCCTGAACTGTTGTTCTAGGAATTTAAAAAAACAGGAAAAAAACCAAACGCAATCTTTGGTGTTGGCTCTACTTTTTCAAACAATGAGACTTTAAAGCAATTGCACTTCTTTAATTCTCTACAGGAAAGAAAATAATGGTATAATTTGTGATGACTTGAAGGAAGGTGAAAAACGCCGCATTCCCAACCCTGTTTGTAAATTTGAAGATGTATTTGAGCATTACCCTGATATTATGGCTAACATAAGAAAAGTTGGTTTTCACAAGCCTACACCAATTCAGGTACTTCTGCAATTTTGATGACTCTTTAACTGAAGCTGAAGAGGAAGGTGCATTTTAGTGTTTGTTGTTTTGTGTTAGTCCCAGGCGTGGCCGATCATACTCCAAGGAATTGATGTTATTGGTATAGCACAGACCGGCACTGGGAAGACATTGGCATACTTAATGCCTGGATTCATTCACTTGACTTCACAGCCAATGTAAGGACTGCTCCTGTCTGCCCTTGTCTAGCTGTGGGTGCTTCCCCCCACCCTCCGTGTCATGGTTTTCAGGAAAGAAGATTATTTTTTTTGCAATTTATGATTTATTATAAACCTGGTGGAATACATACCAAACTTGTCAGCATGGATGCCATTAGTAGCAGTGCACTGAGAAATGTAGAGCAGTATAAAACCATTCAGTGTGAGGTGTGCTGGACTTTGCCTTGTGTGCCCACGTTCTAAAGGTGCTTTATTGCAGATCCAAAGATGAGCGTGGGGGGCCAGGGATGTTGGTCCTTGCTCCCACTCGAGAGCTGGCACTGCAGGTAGAGGCAGAGTGTTCCAAGTACACGTACAAAGGAATTAAAAGGTAATCTTACTTCTCACTTCTTCAGTAATTTTTTTTTCCTACCGCTTGTGGCTGAATTCATCTACTAAAACAGTTGTGTTTACTAAGAGGGAAGGGAAAGGTAGTAAATGCAGAGTTAGTATTTTCCCAGTTTTAGAATACATGCTTTTACTACTCTCATGGTGAAAATCTACTTCTTAACTAGTTGAAGTTTGCTGTACTCTTGTCCTTCTGTCCTCTTTGCCTCTTGTCCTTCTGTGTGGAGAGCTGAGAAGAGCCTGGCCGTGTCTCCTCGGCACCTTGCTGGTACATACCTGCAGAGAGCAGTGACATCTCCCCGAGCCTTCTCCTCTGCAGGCTGAACAAGCCTGGTTACCAGCTTCTCACATCGTGCACTCCATCACCTTGACCATCTTGGTAGCTGCCTGCTGGTCTCGCTCCAGTGTAGATATGTCTGGCTTGTAATAAAGGGGCGGTAAAAAACCTGGCTATTGTGCTGGAGCTGTGGTCTGACACGGAGTGAGTCGAGGGGAGCAGTGAGTTCTCCCTGCCTGCTGGCTGCCTTCTCCGTAGTACGCAGCTGCCTTGCTTTGTGGGGGGTTACTCTGCTGAGTAATGTTCTGTTTCATGCCCACCCAAGTCTTTTTCTGCAAAGCCACCTTCTAGCAGGAGGTTACTCCATCCCCGGGGTTGCTTTGTTAAACTCCACGGGGTTGCTGACAGCCCGTTCCTCCAGCCATTGGTGGTTCTTCTGAGACCCAGCAGAACAGCCCTCGTGTATCCACTGCTCCCCACAGACCTGCCGGAGTGTGGCTCTTATTTCAGCTATTAAACAGATGTCACTGTACTCAAAACTTAGGGCTCACTGGTAGCTTTGTATAGCGTTAAGAGTTGGCTTGTAGTCTTCAAATACTGAACTGTGTGTTCTGCTCCATTCCCCAAAATACTGAGGAGTTTCCCAGAGCACGTGAAGTTTGTGTGTAAGCTTCGTACCGTAGTGCGTTGATGGGCTTAATGGCAAAACACTTGACTTTGATGGTTTTGTTCAGAAAATCATGCATCCTTTCATGTGTTCATCTAGTTTTGATGTGAATGTTTTTGGAACAACCCAAAACATATTCATGGCTTAATAGCTGGGTCCCTGGTTCCTTTCACTGTGATTTCAGCAGAAATTTCAGCTCTTGGTTAATTGTTGAGGGAACACCGTTCCGTATTCGGTCCATCATTTACTGTGATAGTCAAGTCACACTTACTGTGTTCCTTCCCCTTGATGATAATTTTTCTTATGAAGCAACATCGTGGCATTTATTTGAAAAAGATTGACTTTGGTTGAACCTTCATACACTGCTTGTGTAAAACATTTTATTTTTCAGTATTTGCATATATGGTGGTGGGGACCGAAGAGGACAGATAGACGTGGTTACCAAAGGTGTGGACATCGTTATCGCTACTCCTGGCAGGCTGCACGACCTGCAGATGAACAACTTTGTGAATTTGAAGAGCATCACGTACTTGGCAAGTAGCTGATGGGGAATGAGTGATGCACCAGCTGGGAAATGGTTGACAGTTAGGGTGAACTTAATCTTTAATGAAGTTTTCTTTAAACTTCTTAAGTCTTAATTGCAATATATCTTCACATTGAGATCAAATACTGGAGGGATGGTTCATACTTATAATAATTGCATTGCAATTGTGGAATAAAAATAAGAAAATACTAAAATAGGCTTCTAGCACAGTAAGCATTTTGAAGATGCTAAATTATTATCTCATATTAGCAATGTTTGCTGTTTTAAAGTTCATTTTGGCAAGTTCAGTTATTAATGGATGAAATGCCTTTCCCAAGTTGTCTTTCCTTTAAAAGAAATAGTTCCCAGTGACTCAGGTTCTTACTGGAGCTTGTGCAGTGTCACTGCTCCCCCACGGGCAGGTGTTCCAGTGTTTGGTGCCTGACTTCCTTTGGATCTCGGGGAAAATAGCCATGGAAAGCTTGTTAGGGATCCTTAGGTCTTCATTTCATTCTTGCCTTTTGCTGTGCTGGCTGCTTAAAACCATTGCTGTTTTGTAAAGTACTTTCATATATTCAAATTATTCCTGTCCTCTGTCTCTCAGCTGGTGATTTGCTGTTATTCCAGAGATTTACATATATAATGTACTAAAAACCTTTAATAGAATGAAGCATCTTGAAAAAATAGAATGGCAAAATCAGGACAGTAGAGAGGGATTATTATCAAAGTCTTACATTTCCACATAAGTGACTAGAAAATGTCAATACTTAAATGCATAATCCATATAACTTTGATTTATATAAACTCTATTTGAAAGTTCAAGGCGGAAAATTTTTTTATTGAAAGTGTTGGGGGGGGATGGGTGTGGGTGTCCCTGGGGTTTGGTTTTGTGGGGCTTTTTAACTCTGTACTTAGTTTTAGGCCCCAACCAAATTACTGTTAAACGAACTGTTGTTGGTTGTTCTTCATTGACTTTGAGTGCTCTTAAAGGTGCTGTGGATTTTCTTATTCTGCCTGCAAGTGTGTTACTAAATGAAAAAGCTTCAAGGAAGTTGAAGAGGTGAAATAAAAGTTGAACAGGTTTTTGAAATGCATCGTACAGTGGGTTCTACAATTAAGATTGTCACCATTGAACTGGTCAGCTGTGTAAGGTCCGGCTGACAGCCTCAGTATCTCATCTCGGGAAGCAGCCCCAGCAAATAACCTTGTTGTGTGCAGGTGCTGGATGAGGCTGACAGGATGTTGGACATGGGCTTTGAACCTCAGATCATGAAGATCCTGATAGACGTGCGGCCCGACAGACAGACTGTCATGACAAGGTGTGTGACGCGCTGCTCGGGCTCAGGGACAGGGAGCCCACTGAGGGAGGGAGCTTCAGAAGGAGCCTGGCAGCCTTAATGAGGCTTGGACTGACTTAAATGGGGATGGAATCAGTGTTTCCAATTCTGCCTAGTCAGTCCTAAGGAGTTATTTAACAATTTTATTTTCACTTTTTACCCCTTTTCTGATATTTTACATCAGCTATAAAAACAGCTGACTTCTTCCCAAAAAGGAAGGTGTCCTGGGAGTGCTAGAATTTGCCATATCTATGTGAAATACCAACTTCCACTTCTCCATTTGGGACCAAACACGTATCCTCATCTTCTGAGCAGTATCTGTGCTGGTCTGCACCTGGATTAATTCTTAAATTGCACAGTTTTGGAGAGCTTAACAGTAGACTATCCCAACAATAATTTTTGATAATGTATTTTGCATTAGAGCTATTCTTTTAGGAATAAGAACAGACTAAGAGTTTGCTTATTAGGTATCATGGAACTCTCTCCTGGTTTCGTTAGAAAGGCTCCGTAACCGTCACCTGTACTTTAAACCTGGAAAGGTACTTCTAAAGCTTGGGTGCTGTTTAATAATAAAATCTGAAGATTATTCCCAAGTGTTGTACAAGTTCACCAGTGGTATTGCTTACTCGAGTGTTTCGCTGGTGTATAAGAAAGAAAAGAAAGAGAAATGTGATGAAATTAATGAATGGGAGAGGATTTTACTCTGTTCTCGTGTGTGTGTGTTCACCTCCTGCTCAGCGCCACGTGGCCTGACGGTGTCCGTCGCCTGGCCAGGTCCTACCTGAAAAACCCCATGATCGTGTACGTCGGCACTCTTGACTTAGCAGTAAGTTGGTCTTTTTAAAATATATTTTTCTTGGGAGAAGAACCTACAGTTACACCAGGAAAAATTTTGCTTGTAAATGCGTATAACCTGAAAATCAATCCAAACTCTCAAAAAATGGGTCAATGTTATTCTTTTAAAGCTTCATTAAAAGTTTAGAAAGAACTTAAAAAAAAAAAAAAAAAAGAAAAAAAGCTTTGTTCTTATGTTTTTGTAACAAGATCTTGTCCTGGATCTTCAGTAGAAAACCTCACAGGGGACAAACACCAACCAAATTGAAGTGTGAATCTTGTACTTGGCAGTGCCAGGTGTTCCTGCCTGAGATTCTGTTCAGCAAGTTCTTGGTCCTCACTTTTTTTAATACTATTTATGTAGGGTGCCTTAGACATTCTATGGCAACCTTCAGATATCATAAAGTTTTTTTTGGTTTATTACTGAAAATGTTGGAAGAATGGAACTGGTCATTTCAAATAGGTTACAGAATCTTCTTTAACAGCTTGTCCTTTTAGGTAAGAGTGACATTGTTCCAGCTTCTCTGGATTAACATAGGATATATTCAAATAAAAGTACTTCAATCTGATTTTTCACTAATATTAGGAATATTTATTTCACCCCATTAATCTGCTAATCTGTGCCCTTTAAATCTCTGCAAATATATGATTATGCAAATTGCTTAAAGATAAATTTTACTATTCTCCTAAAGCAAGTAGGAAACAACAAATTAGTGTGCATTGTTTGAACTTCAAACTGATACATATTTTGGTTTTAAAATAGTTTTTCATGGCATCATATTACTAGTTTTATTATATCATAATATTGGAATTAATAGGAAAAAAATATTATTCTAATGTGTTTCTACTTCCCCTTTTTGCTGTTGAACAGGCAGTAAATACAGTAGAACAGAAAGTTATTGTTCTTGCCGAGGAGGAGAAGAGAGCTTTCATGCAATCCTTCATCAACTCCATGAAGCCAAAAGATAAAGTCATCATTTTTGTGGGGAAAAAAGTGACGTAAGTAATCACTTCCCAGTACTACGTCTGTTTGGGTTTTCTGACAGAAATACTGCAGAGTTTCTCAGGTGACATGATAATTTCTGAGTGTAACAGCTCTGGTCAGCAATGTGCTGCTAGCACTAGTCTTTTTTTTTTTTTTTCCTTTTTTTTTTTTAATATTACTATTTATTTATTCCTCCAAAGTGACTGCTAGTTTGTATCCTTTTTTTAATACCATTAGTGGTGGTGGTAAATCTCAGCTTCACACAGTTGAAGCAGAGGTTGGGAGTCTCGGGGATGCATTAATGTGAAGGAGTGGTTACTGTCACGCGCAGCTGGTGCCTACAGAGTGGTGGGGGGTTGTCATTGTACCCTACCTGAGCTATTGGAGTGAACAACACCAAAATGATCTGTATATAGATATATATATTTATATATAAACAAAAGCAAACATTTATGTTTCAGCCTGGTTTATTATAAATATCAGCTGACCTAGGTGGGGTTTTGTCCTTAGGCACAGCTTTTGTTGTCACTTAATCTTCTGGATTTAAATCTAGGTGCTGCACTCTTTTCCTTTTTTTTTTGTTGGTTTTTTTTTTCCTTTTCTTTTTAAGAACCATTGTTTCCTTTCATCCTAGAGCTGATGACTTAGCAAGTGACTTTGGGCTCCTGGGAATTCCAGTGCAGTCCCTTCATGGGAACAGGGAACAGTGTGATCGAGAACAGGCTCTAGATGACTTCAAGACTGGTATGTTTGTACCCAATACTGGTTTGTTTAGTCCAGGTTTTTAAAGCTTGTCATGTGCAAAACGTTGCCCATTTCTAAGTGCTGTGTCTCTTCAGTGCCATAGAAATGAAAATATTAAAGAGTTCTGAATGATATTTTTCTTAATTTGATGAAGAAAGAACCCCAGCAAAAAGGTTGCTCTTCAATAAAATTCGGAATGCCTAAGAGTTAAATAATTTAAAGTAAGGCTTGCTTTATTTTTGAAACCTCTGTGGAAAAGTCAATGTCCTGTTAGTCTACAGAGCAATACGCTTAAGTGTCAAGTGGTGGTGCTTTTGGTGAAAAAGCTCTGCTCCTGATGGTACCAGTGGGATACCCTCGTGATAAGGAGGCAGCTGAGAATAGTGTTCTTCTCTTCACAGACCCTTTCTAGCAGCGAGGCACGTTTCTTGGGTCTGCTCCCTGCTGTTCTACTTGTGAGACACAGATAATGGTCAAATGACATTTTGAGCACGCACTTACCACCTTGTGTTTGAAGCTAATTCAGTCTGAAGTGCAACAAGTGTATTTTTCCTTTCTGTGTTAAGAATAAGTTCATTACACACCACAAAACCAATAGACTGGAGTGCGTTTCCTGGTTATTCCATAAACTTCCCCCTCTCTTTTTGTTGTACTTAACTTCAGGCAAAGTCAGAATCCTGGTAGCTACTGACTTGGCCTCCCGTGGCCTTGATGTGCATGATATTACTCATGTTTTTAACTTCGACTTCCCTCGCAACATTGAAGAGTACGTGCACAGAGTGGGTCGCACTGGAAGGGCCGGGTGAGTTGTCAGTATGTTCTGCACTGCACTGGGTGTTCCTGCTGTCAAATGCAGGAGCTGCAGGGGAGTGAAGACCCCAGAGTCTGTCAAAGTCTGTTTTAGATATCAACTCACTGCTTTATGTTTTGAAATTAGTTCACTGTTAGATTTAAGGCAAACAGGTTTTACATTCTTCTGTTATTTCACTGAAGTGGGTAGGAATGAGGGATGTTTGGAAGCTGGTTTAAATGCGGGGTAGAATTACAGTTCAAAACAACTTCTGTATTGATATTCTGAAATTTCACTTCCTCGTTTGTCTCTTGGGGAGCTGCTGAGTCACTGAGTTTCCTAGACAGCCCACCAGGGAAAAAAACCATATAAATTCAGAGTTTTCAGCCTATTGCGGTGGTGTAGTTTGGTGTTAGGACTTGGGGATGCTGCTTTCCTGGGCTGGCAGGAGTGTGACTGTTCTTGTGTATGTGTTTATTTTAATCATGGTATGAATGTACGTCTCTTCATGCTTCAGTCCGTTGTCTCTCTGCCAGGTTGATTGTCTAAAAGTCTCAATTAGTTGTGCTTTTGCTCCGTTTTATGTGACTTGCCATATTGTGACCTTGGTGAAAAGCTGCTCTGCCACGTGCAGCAGTACCTACTGAAGCCAGTTGTGTCTGGCAGTTCAGTAGCCATGCCTGGCAGTTCAGTAGCCATGCCTGTCGTGCGGTGTGTTCCTGTGTGGGGCAGCAGGAAGAGCCTCTGAAGCTCTTTCATTCTCGTTTAGACGCACCGGGGAGGCGGTGACGCTCGTCACGAGGAGCGACTGGAGGTTTGCAGCTGAGCTGATTGACATTCTGGAGAGAGCAAACCAAGTAAGAAAGCGTCGGACTGGGGAAGGTTGGCACTGGGTGGGGGGTACCACCAGAGGCAGTTGGTGAAGGTCTCAGCCTGCTCAGACCTTTCTCAGTGTTTGCAGTGTAGCGGGGGGAAAAAATGGGTGCTGATGTCTCCCTTGTCCCTGATATCCTTAGCTGTGCTCTGCCCATGGGTGAGGCCCAGAGAAGAACTGGGAGCTTTAATCAAAGCCTTCCACGTCCACAGAAACAGTAACACATGCACATGGAGAGGGCTGCAGCGGAACAGTAGGATCTGGTTTATCTCATAGTATTTTATTCCCATGTTCTTGTTTAACAGTGTAAATATTAATATTTCTATCAGAAGAAGCTCAACTATCTATCAGTTTATTGTGTCTGATGCTCCTGACACCTGCATGTCCCTCTCCAAGCTATCTTTCTCACAGACATTTCTAGATAGTATGGGACACAGGACTGGAATTTGATTTGTTTCTTTATTTTAAAGAAATGGGTTTTTTTCTTGGTACCATATCTTAGAAGACAGTTTCTTGCTGTAACAAGAGCCATTATTTTGCCTGATTTGCCTAGTTCCCTAGAGTTGAAAACTTTTTAATTTTCTTTATTTTTTTTTTGAGGGGACAAATTAAATTGCTTTTATCTGGGACCCATGGTTGTTATTTTGGATGCTTACTGAAACTTGAAACCCTGAGTAAGAACTTGGCCTTGTTTTGCCCGAGTTAAAACTGACCTTGTTTTTGTGCTGCTTCTTATCAATCAGGTAGTTCCTGATGAGCTTATTGCAATGGCAGAAAGATACAAACAATTTCAAATCAGGAAAGAAACAGAAAAGGATATACGGAGGCCTCAGAGAAAGCCCACAAAATAACTGCTGAGTTACTGAGACACCGTAAGTGATCACAGAGTTAGCAGCAACGGGCTTCAATACAGAAGTTTCCTTTCTCACTTGCTTGTTTTCTGTACCTGTCCCATTTAAATAAAATATGTTTTTAGAAGTGGCTTAGAAAACTGGATTAACTTTATTCCTATATATATATTCTTTTTATTAAAAATAAATCTAGTCTTGCACTTGGATGCTATTTCCACTTGAGAAAAATCAATTATTTTTTGCGTGCGTGATGTGTGTAACTTCTAAAGTCGTGATCTACTGGCTAAAAACAAATACTGTGGGTTTCTTTGGTAGGTTTTTGTTATTGTTAAATGCAGTGTTAGTATGTAAGAAGGTAAAAGATACTTTTCCCTTTTCTTTCCAGAGTGCTGGACTAGAGGACAGAGCAATGTTTGTCAGCGTGGTTCCGAGTGCCGTCGTTTGGCGTTGCCACAGCTGCCACCAGCAGGCAGGGGGATTGCTGGGGATAACCTCCCTATTCAAAACCTGCTCCCTGTTTGCAGGAACTGCTGTTTGCTGAAGCAAGTCTTTTTTGTTTGTTTGTTTTAAAAACTTAACACTGGAAGTCATTTTTGTTAAGACCGGTGTCTGAGGGGGTTTTTTGCACGAAGCCTGCATTTCCTCCTGGTGGAGGAGAGCATCATGAGAGGTGTGTGGTTGTGGCTGACTGGGGAAAACCAGCTCCTCCTGCTCCCATGGATGGGATTTTCTAGCTTAAGGAAGAAAAGCAGAGTTTACTACAGCAATGTTAATAAAGTCATGAAGAAAAAATGCACCTGAAGGTAAGCTTTTATTTCTTTCAGATAGAGTTGATTGAGGTTTCACATCTGGCTGTGAGGTGCCAGCGGGGTGTCCTGGCTCTCCTGGGAGGGCCTGGGGGAAGGAGCTGTTCCTTCAGTTCACACTTGCTCTGAACTTGGGTTTACTCATGTGTCAAGAGCAAAGGAAAAACTAATTAGCTCCAGTTTTATAAATTCCAGTGAGAATATTTTATTAAAATTATTCTCTTAAATGTTCTTCTGACCTTCCTCCTTCTGTATTTGCTCATAATTGAGGTGAAATTTGGGCATTTCACCTAGCCAGTAGGTTCTTTTGCCTTCAGAAAGAAGGCTAAAAATACAGACGTCCCACAGCTTCTTTAAGAAAAAGCAAAAGATATATTTATTTCCAGCACAGCAGTTCCAAAATGCTGTGTGATTTATCCCCTGCACATTTTTTGTAATAGGGAATACGACAGTTATTCTTTTTCCCTAACACGCATACTCTTTAGCAGCTGAAGAACTGAGTTCTAATTCCAGGAATGTCCGATTTCTACTGGGTTTGATAACGTTCCACATGAAGCCTCTTCCTCCCTGAAACGGGCTGAAGATACATTTCTTTCTCCCAGATTCATTACACAAACCTGAAACGGGCTGAAGATACATTTCTTTCTACCAGGTCCATTACACAAATGTTCACTGGCCTAATCCCTCGTCCTTTGTAGCAGCACATCAGATAACCATTCCCGTCTCCAGCACCCCCTTTGTAGCAGCACATCAGATAACCATTCCTGTCTCCACTGCCCTGGGAAAAGCCTCCTTTCCAAAGCCATCCTGGAGACTCGGGAATGATAAGTTAATTCAGGAACTTCACATTGGTTTGATGCCACGTTCTCTCTGCAAAAGGTCTTCATCCACCCAGCTCAGCTGGAGGAGTTGTTGTTCTTTATGTCCAAGTAACTCCAGTGACTTTTTGTTGTTGTTGTTTTGAAAGGAAGAGTGTATTTTGGATATTCTGCAGTGGATCTTCATTTGAAATAAAGTGACCATTTTTCACTTGACCCGGCCGTTGATGCCTTTGTGTTTGGAACTGTAGAAATGACATGTGGGAAATGAACTATTGCAAGTTCTTCTACACGTTTAGTGTACCTTGGAGATATTTTGTAGGTGCCATGTCTGTTTGGATAGGGAAGAGAACTATCACTTAAAATGTCCTGTTTCTCGTGAGGGCTGTGGCTGAGCAGTGGGACTGAGGGATGTTGTTCCCTCTGCTGTTGGGTTTGGTTTGGTTTCCTTGTGGGCTACTGAGGGGTAACCCGAGGTGCAGAGCTTCCAGTTCTAGATATGCAAATCTGAGATGGGTATGGAATGGGTATACATGATGAGACGGGTATTGTAAACAATGCTTTCAATTCCTCTCCTGAAATATTGGGAAATTGTTGTTCAGTTGATAGTTTAATTGCCTCGACAGGAAGTTATTGCTGGCTTTGTCCTCCGGGCTGAGCAGGTTGTACTGGGGGATGAAGAAGTGGGGGAGCTGGGAGCGCTGCAGGCAGTCCAGGAAGTACCCCAGGTACTTGTGGAAGCAGTGCTCCAGGTCCCCCCAGTGCCAGTCTGTGTCATGGGGCCACATCACACACGAGTGGAAATAAGCAGTTTTGACATGATACGAACAGAATTTGTCCAGCTCTTTTGTGTATTTCATTTTGAGTTGTTCTAGAAGATACTTCAAGAGCTTAAGGCAACCTTTCCTGTTAAATAAAAAAGAAGAATGTATTAGGTACCTTCTACATAGTTCTAAATATTTATTTTAGATATTTAGATTATTCATGAAAGCAGTAGGAATGCTCTTATTCTACTGTGTGTGAAGTCAGAGCCTAGCAGTGAAGGAGTTACACGATGGCTGTGGATACAGCACGTTCCCTGGCAGCCTTAGGGGAAGAGAGATCTCGTTGAATATACAGTTATATGTATCTATGGAGACTTGCTCACATGTCCCCATCAATGATCCTACTGGTGTAACAAACTCAAATCACTGCTTAAGGCTAAAGCTGCTCTTCTGGGCTGGATAAGCACTGAAGGAAGTGCCACCACCTCCCTGTGACACGCCACCAGGGGAAGAGAGACCCAGTTGAATATACTGCATGTCTGATAATACTCGTAAAGCAAAGACACAGAATTATGCACTAGTGCCCTTGTGACTTTCTGGATTCAGTACAAGGTGTAGTTAAGCAAACTACAAAGTTGGCTTGCCCTTAAGGAGGTCCTGTACCACATGGAGGTTTTGTTCTTTTCTTTCTCTTGGAAGAAATGTGGAAACAGGTTTTTATTGGAGTGAAAAATAGCATTTATTCAGCCTGAATCCCATTCAGCAGTTCTTTTTCTCACCATCGTTTTAGAAGTTGTCTTGGTGTGAAGTGTAGCTCTGCTCCCAAAGCTCAGGAAGCAGAGTCACCAGACTTTTAAGCTGGTTCTTCTAAACAGGACTGAGTTTGTGAAAGATTATTTCAACAAGTGCTGAGTGTGAACCTGCAGTGTCAGTTGTTCCCAGCTCTCGCTGAGTCAGTGTGAGTCAGACACTCAGTGAGTACCTGTGACGTTGTACTGCTGTAAAACAGCAATTCCTAAGGGAATCTCCTGCTCCTGCAAGGAGGAATTAGATCCAATTCTCAGATGTTAAAGCAAAACAGCACCAGGCAGTGCCAGCCTGGCTGCCGTGGGCATCACACAGGCTATTCACAGGAAACACACCAACTGTGAGAACCCAACAGCAAAAGAGGAATTCGGGAAGCTGGGCTGCTGCACCCTGACACCAACCTGCAGCACTTGGGCCCGTTGGCCTCGCAGCAGGTCTTGGAGCTGCCGTGGTTGTTGAGCATGGCCTTCTCCACGTGCGAGAAGGAGAGGCGCCACGTGTTCCCTGCAGTGGGGACAAGAGGGGGAAAGGGTTATGCAGCAGTAAGTGCCAGAAAAAAAAAATAAATTACATTTTGTAACTTTTTTTGCGGAAATCATCAGTTCTAACAATGCAGTCACACATTGAGATGTTTCTACGAGCCAGTGTGGGCTTGTGTGACTGCTCTGGAGAAAAGGGAAAGATGTTGTAGGCACCCCAGGGTTCAGTGAGAAACGATGGCTATTGCTGGGAAAGTCCAGACTTAGGTCCTGTGGAGGCGTGTAACTGGAGTGCACAGTCCCACCTGCAGCCACAGGCCCTGCCTTTAGAGAAATCCCCTTTTCTTTGTTTTCCTTACACAGTGAGGGAGCGGGTGCTGCAGGTGAGCAGGGCCCCAGCAGAGGAAGGGGCAAGCACAGAGCCCGGAGCTCGGGACAGGACAGGCAGCACCACACATCTCACGTTGTAAAGAGGGATTTCAGTTGTCTCGGAGCTGGGTCTGCACCCAAACAGGCTCCCCACTCCCTTTTCATAGTGCTTGTTAGTGACCGAGCTGTAGAGAAGATACTTCAGAACTGAGACTTATGGTCTGTACTCAAGGTACCTCTTGGAACCTTTTCTTTCTTGTTTTGCTTGGCCACTAGATAAAGCGATTCGCTCCTGAGGTCTCCCCTGACTTTCCTCCCCAGCCACTGCTCGACCCGGAGCCCGTCCTGCGTGCTGGGGGGCCAGTTCTGCTGCACTTTCAGCGTCAGGATGATGTCCACCGAGATGTCTGTGGGAGGGTTTCGGATCTGGAGGGTTATTGCAGGGCTCCCAGCCTTCTTCCTTTTCACAGTCACTTCTGCATCTAGTAACAAAGATGACAGTGATTGGTTTTATATATATATATATATATGTAGTAGAAGAAACGGGGGGTTTTTTTGGAAGACTGTTAAGGTTTCTACTATATGGGATTTATAATCAATCAAAAGAAATACCTGGGTTCGGTCACCGGCTCTTTACCCTACAGGATAAAGAAATAAAACATAAGGTGACCTATGGAGGAGTTCTACAAAATAAGGAGCACTCAGCACTCTCCCGAGCTGCAGCGTTTACTTGATTTACTAGGTCTACAGAAATCCAGAAATGTTTTCCAGTGAATTGTGTCGCTGTTGAAAACACCGAGAGAGGAGAGATTTGGCAGCAATGGCTCTGAAGGCTTTGGGGAGAAGAGAGCACCCTCGAAGGGGAGATGGTTTCTATAGAGATTGAGATAAAATATTGGGTGACGTATAAAAGCTCTTCCTTTTGGTGCTGGTGCAGAAACTGCCTGTCTGTACAGGGCAGATCGATTCAAAACCGTATATAGGTCTGGCAGGAACAGAACCCCTAAGGTTCACTCTTCCCAGGGCTGGGGCTGCCGAGTGCAGCCATGGGGTAACTGTGGGGTGCAACGAGCTGTGTGTGTTTGGGGTGACTCAGCACCAGCAAACAGGAGACACCTGAGACAGGAGAGGTCACAGTGAGAGCCACCAGGAGACAACCTGACCTGGGGGGGGGGGTCAGAATCACATTTTACGAATAACAGGGCAGTATGTATGCACAACCTAATTGGATTGTTAGCTCAGTACTTACCTTTAATGGTTTTCACTTCTTGCTTGATAATTTCTCTTAGTGCTTGAAGCATTTTAAAAGCTGATAATTTTCCATCTTCATCTAAAAACTTCAACAAATACTTTTCTTTGGGGTTTCGTTTGAATGATAGATAATAAAAGGCTCCGGTGTCATCGCATTCATCCAGCTGAAGCCTTTCAACACGCATTAGGAGCATGATGTCAAACTCGTTGGGTTCTGATATCTGCAAGGCAGGATAATTTGATTATTTGCTCTCTTCAGGCTGTCATACCGGTTGTGGTTTTATCTACAGCCGCCTCGCTGCGCTTCTGGAGTGAAATACGAGCTCGTTTCTGTGGGTTTCTATTACAAGATTGCTGTGCATTGGGGTGGAGAAGAGCAATTTACTGATAGCAGTTCACTTCCCAGTAAGCTTGCAAAACTCATTAATTTTTAAGACGGTTTAAGATTCCCGAGCTGTTCCCAGTAATGCTGATCTCAGTCATCCTTTTAGAAGGGATGGAAGGAACCTTTCAGATGGAGTCCAACCGTCAACCCACCACTGACCCATCACAGAATCTTCACGGTAGGAAAGGACCTCTGAGATCACCGAGCCCAACCATACACACACACAAAGGCCCCAATATCTCGCCCACTAGGGCATGCCCAGAAGTGCCACCTCCACACCTTTCTTAAATGCCTCCAGGGATGGTCCCTCAACCACCTCCCTGGGCTTAATAACCCTTTCAGTGTAAAAATCTTCCCCAATATCCATCCTAAACCTCTCCCCTGGCACAACTTGAGGCTGTTTCCTCTCGCCCCATGGCCTGTTCCTTGGGAGAAGAGACTGATCTCCCCTGGGTACCCCCTCCTTTCAGGGGGTTGTGGAGAGCGAGAAGGTCTCAGCTTCCTTTTCTCCAGGTTTTCACCCGCAGGACTCCCCCTCCCCCCCGCCCCTCCCGCCGCCCCCCGGCACCCACCTTGACGTGCTCGTAGTAGCTGCCGGCTCCCAGCCTTCAGGGGGTTGTGGAGAGCGAGAAGGTCTCAGCTTCCTTTTCTCCAGGTTTTCACCCGCAGGACTCAGCTTTGGGGGGGGGAAAAAAACGCACCACTCTGCCTGAAGGGGGTTTAACGAAAAATCAAGTTTCCCCAGGTTTGACTTCGTTTCAAACTGAGCTGGAAGCAGACAGAAAAAGCTCTCGCTAAGGCGGCAATCCTCGCGGTCCCTCCCGGTGGGAAGGGGCGGCTCTCGGCCGACGGGGAGCCGCGGGACCCCGGCCAGCGCCGGGCGGGGGG